AGGTAGGTGAGGTAGGCCATGGACTCGTGGCCTTTGTTCAGCGGGGTGGTGAGCTTCTTTTCATCTGCGGCGGTTGCTTTGGAGGGGTTGACGGTGTAGATTGCGCGCTGCCAGCTGTGAGGGTCGGTCAGTAAGGTAGACGGTTTGGTGCAGGGATTGCTCGACGTACTCTGGCAGTTCTTCCTCGACCCACTCCGTGTGTTCTTCCTCCAGCTTAGCCATGACGATAACTTTGTCGCCCGTTTTTCCATGAGGGAGCGTTGGAACGGTCTGCGGGAAATATCGCGATTTGGTCCAGTCGACCAGGTATGTGCCTGCACGGTACTGGTCGCAGAAATCCTCCAGGTGCACCTTTACAAGATAGAGCGGTACTAGGAGCAGCAGAGTCGCGCAGCATATGATTCGGGAACCGCTTTTCATTGTGATTGTTGCGGCTGCGGTGGTGATATATCTCCAATATGAATGACTCGCTATACCAACCACGATAGCGCATGTGGTATATCCAAACAATAACACCTTGAGATCAACATTAAAGTTTAGCCATCGAGTTAGGGACCAGCCAGATATATTAAAAGTAGTATGGGGACAAGCAAAGCAGCCGGGTGAAAGCAGGCCGCCGGGAGAAGTATATCAACCGCAAACCACCAAAGGCAACAGAATCTGAAGAAAAAAGATCTCAGGAGCGGAAAGGGTGAACTTTGTATTAGCCTCAGAGCCCAGAGCCCAGAGCAGGAAACCCAGGAAAAAGGGACCCGTCCATACTGGATTTGGGGCAGATCAGTGTTAGGGAGATTCGTCTGTCAACCACGGGTCCCGAGTTGGGGCCTTTGGGGGCGGGTTCATTTTGGCACTGGATTTTGGCTTGACTTTTGAGGGGCATATTTTTAATCTCCACTGGCTGAGCCACGCTACTTACTAACATACTACGGAGTACGTATCTGTTATCCACTTACTAAAGTCTGTGGCTGACTGTTAGCAACTAGGAACGTTAGGCAGTCACCTAACCAGGAACTCGACCAAACCTAAACACAGAGACCCTCCATAACCCAGGGGCCAGGGGTCAAACCAGTCGCGTCGGTCTTTCACCCATACTGGACCTCTCCCGTGGTTTAGCGTCTTTAGCGGGGAAGCTTGGCGCTCACGACAGGACGAAGTGGATAATAGGAACGAACTCGCTCAGACGGCGCAGAACGCTATTGTCGCAAAGGCGTTTGCGGGCCCCTGACAGTCTGTTCGACCATTGAAGCTCATCCTGGTCGCGTTGAGGGATGAAATGTGATCATAGTCTGACAACGTGGGGGTGTCTGCCAGTTCGCTGGGAGGAGCAGGACGAGTTGGTTCTAAGGCCTCAAAGAGGCAGATTGAATCTGGGGAACGTACCAAGGTTCGCTCGTGGCGTTGTCCCAAACAAGATTTTTGTCCACTTCGGTGCGTACGTACGTGGCCACTGGCCTGGCACCGCAACCGTGGCTCTTCCTGTGATGTTTCTCAATGTTCTTTTCTTTGGGGCAATGATGCAATAACTGTGCGTTGTGAAGTTGTGGAGGCTGATATCCCGCTGATCAGCACGGTCAATTTCTTCAACCAATGTTATGGACGAGCCAAGCAAGTGATTCTCCAAATCAGGACGATCGAGTTAGTTAAGAAGACAGAGTAGTTTGACGTAGGTCTTGAACAAGGGCGAAAGGTCGTGGGCTCAAGACCGCTTCCTCTTCTTCATTATCAGGCCTCGTTTCCCCCCTGTTTTTGTTAAATCTAAACATAGGAACTGATAGTCGGTGTGGCATCTCACAATGATGCTGGTCCTTGTCTATCAACTATCTATCTGGTAGGACGTTCCTGTATGTGAGGCTGTTGGAATGCAACGTGAGTGGAGGATGTCACTTGCCTTATGGACCACTGTCTCAGATTGCGGATTAGACTACGGAGTATTATTATCAAATTAAAGTACGTAGTTATACTCGTTCCTTACAGGACTAGCTTGCTTATGGTAATTTGTTGCTGCCTGGTATACGTGGACAAGCTTAAGAAATGGGAAAAGCGCGAAAGCTTATTTGGCCTCGAAACATATCCAAGCACATACCGCAGTCAAACTTGCAGTGGCTGTTTCGGCCGAGATCAAAGAGAAATTAGAAAATATATAACCGGAGCAGTGATACGCTTTGTTTTATACATTGTATACTCCGTACCTTGCGGCCAGCGCAACTAGATACAGTGCCATGCGATTCATGAATGGTCATCGCAGAGCAGAAAATTAAGACTCCTGGTCACCCTCCTCCTCATCGCTGCTGACCTCCTCACCCTCTGCGATCGCTTGCTCTCGTAGTCTTCTCGCACGCTCTCTCTTCTTGTCCAGCAAGTGATTCAGCTTTTTTGCGACGTTGAAGACGCCTCCAGTGCCTGCCCCGCATGCAGCACACGAGGGGTTCTTCCGATACCGCTGCAGGGCGCATGACTCGCAAAAGTAATGGCCGCATTTCGTAATGATAGGACTTTTATAGGAGCTCTTGCAGATGATGCATGCAAATGGGATGCTCTCGAGAAGTTCTTCGTCATCATCGTCCTCGTCATCTTCCGCAGTCTTCGCGTCGCCGCTTCGTTTCGAGACGACCCGACCACTCAATTGCTTGCCTTTTGTACCAATCTCCCACTCTCGGTCCAGCTCCCAGCCCTGTTTGTAGTCCTCTCGAGCGTGAAGAAATTTGCAGGAATCTGCGCCCACGGTTAGTAAGAGTTGTTCTACTCAGAAAAGGAAGAAAAAGAGATACATACCTCCAAAACCGCAGAATCCAGTCTGCTTCCAGTCCTTACATACATCAGGCGCAAAGTCCATGACTGTCACCGTACGGACGTTGGTAGGCGCTTTGATAGGACCAAACTGCTTGGTAGGCGCATTGGGATTCTTCTGGATGAATGACGAATAGTTCGCGGCGCCCTTGTACGTGCCGTCGGGCGCAGATGGAGCGCCTGATGTCGGCCGAGCTCTTGTCGTCCCCAAGAGGTTCTTCTCACTCAACTCCTCGTCATACCAGTTGGAGTGCTTGGTCGCATCGTTACTTGAGGTCAAGGGAATAGCGGCTGCTTCGGTGGCGGGTTGGTCTTCGACTGTATTTCTGCGCGGGCCAGCTGTAGCCGAAGAGGCAGTCACTGCAGCGTTCTTGCGCCGTCGTTTGATCCGGCGACCTTCTTCGTCGTCGGACGATGTGAAATCGGAGTCGGAATCTGAAGCAGGTGGCGGCGTATCGGGCTTCTTGCGGAAGTTGGCTTTGGCCTTGTTGGTGCGTTTCTTAAAGGAGATTTGAGGAACAGCGTCCGTAGCTTGAGTTTCTTCCGCCATCTTCTTGGGACAAATATCTCCTTAGACAGAACGATCGTGCGGTGGCGCGGAGAGTAGCTGCCGGTTATAGACGCAAGAAGAAGAGCACATCATTATCGCAGGCCACGTGATTTATTACTTATTACAATGTCACATGACTATTTATTACAATATCACATGACTGTGAGAGCGCCTTGAGGCCTTGGGCATCCATCCGTGTTCCTGAGACGCGATCCATGGATGACGGTGGTACCTTAGCCTTAGTAGTATTTTGGGCAGAACCGTAAACATCGACAATTGACTATGGCAGCCAGTAAACGAGGCACTTTTCAGGAGATCTACCATTATGAAAGAGTCAAAAGTATGGTCTTTGTCCTAACCTTGCTTAGTTGCTTGGACTATTGGACATCGGCAACAATAACAATAGATTATGGATCAAGCCTGTCAAATAGTTAGTGATCCTCCCTCGTCATGATGCACCATTTGAGCGCTCAAACGGTAACCTAGATCTCTGATCTCTGACATATCAGATCATTATTGTTCTCGCCAGCATTGTCATATCCTGGGATTTGATCTCAGTTAAGACGTTCGCAAGTAGATATAGAAACAAAACGAAATAACTATCGCCCGCACGGTCCATAGTATCATCCTAGATTGAAGCAACAAACAGATGTGCCTCACTCCACCTCAACTCCATTCCTCGCTCTCCTCCCACCGTCTGTCCTCTTTCTCTCCCTCTCTTCTTCTCTTCTTCCTTTGTCTCCCCACCCAACGAGTCGCTCTCGTCTCGTTGTTGTCCATCTAGACAGCCATTATCATCTTCTTTATCTATCTCTCTAGACTTCCTTTTTCTTTTCTTTTTTTTTCATACACTCTCTTCCCGTCTTTTCGTTTCCTTTCCTTGAATCTTTCCCCTCTTCTTTCCCCTTCTTCCACCATTACCAATTGACCTGTCTTTCATTACTTCCCTTCCTTTCATTCACTTTTCTATCTGATTTAATGCCCAATTGTACGACGTAGTCGATTCTAATTCTATTCATCCAGCCTTGTAATCCACTATCTGGGTCATATTCCCTGTCTTGCCAGTTCACCACTGCTGCTTGTTCCCGAGTGTTGAACTTGCATTAGTCTGTTGTGGTTGGTCCAACACCTTGGCTGCAACCACGCACACTCCCCAGTACGTCCACAACGCGTTTGTTGTCATCAGCGTCGCCAGTGCAGGTTTTACGGCCCGTCTTACAAAACAAACATCGCTCGATTTGAAGGGGTCGCATTCGCTTGCGATCGTTCTCTCTCGATATTTCACGATATTTGGTGCGCTATCTTCCTCTGCCAAGTCAATTCTCTCGGACACTGTCACCTTGCCGACCGACGGTGCGCTTATCGTTTCCACCGTCGCATCCAACTTCAAGATTCAGACACCGGATATCTCGTCGCTGCCGGTTCTTGTAGGTCGCACAACCAGAAAATCGAGAATACCGAACCGTGAAAGCTGGAAGGACGGATCAGATGATGCTTTGAAATCGAGACCGGGAATAACGAGGAACGCGGCAACGAGTTTCCGGCATTCAAGGGCGGCTGTTTCCTTATTTTGGTCAAGCTCGATAGGGACCACCCCGTGGTGCGCACGACCTAAGCAGGCAACAACATCACAGACGCGGAAGGCCAAGGACTTACTTCCAGAATGACTTCGATGGATGACCCCTTCGTCTCAAAAACGGAGGAGCGTGTTTCCCGTGATGCGCATAGGTACTCCTCTTTTGACACGCAGCTGTTCAGTCTGAATGCACCTTCTCCAGCACAGGCCAAAAGAGCTCTTGAAGCTCATCTTGCGGAGACAGAGCGCAGACTCGAGGAGGCTTCGAAGCTCGGCACAGCGCTCATAGAACAGCAGAGAGAGCTCGAGGAAAAGTTGAAAGAGGTAGAACAGCAGCAGGATGAGAACCAGATCGGACCGGATCTGCGCCAGAAGCTCGTGGAACTGGAAAGGGAGTACAATGAAATTGGTCGTGAGACTGCCAGAGCCTTCCTGGCTCCGAAACGTCTGGCGGGTGGCGATGAAGGCCACCTGGGCACGCCCTCTCTTGATCAAAAGGTAAGGCCAGAACGCTTCCTGTACTGTCGTCAAGATACTGATCTTCTGAGCAACAGTCGCCACTCAGTCCCGTCCTATTCGCCAGCCAGGCGACCAACTCTCCCAGCAAGGTGAGCGTTCCGTCACGGAAACAACGAAACCAGCCCTCTAGCCGGGTCCATGACATTGAATTCGCGACCGAGATTTCTACTTCCCTCCTGGCCCAGGTTCGTCAATTGCAGGCCATGCTCGCTGAGCGCGAGGAGGCGTTGAAGAATGCCAATCTTGAAAAATCACGGCTGGAGCTGGAGGCAGAAGGGTACGCGCAGCGAATCCGGGCGCTGGATGAGAGCGAGGAGCGCTACAAAGACGAGAATTGGAATCTCGAAACTCGAACTCATGAGCTTATGACCGCGATGAAGGAGGCCGCCGATCGCGAAAACAGGCTAAACAGCGCCCTCGGTACCGTCACGTCAGAGAAGAACGCTATTGAACGGGAGCTGGAAGAGTTGAAACAGGCCAATGCTCGGTTGATCGAGGAACAGGCCGCTACTCAGAAAGCCAATGATGCTGAGATTCACCTCTTGCGCAGGAACCTCAATGCAGGAGATGCCGAGAAGCTTGCCCTTCACAAGAAGCTCGAGGAGTTAAACTCCCAGAACGAAGAGCTTGCCAAAGTGGTTGCGATGCGCCTTCGTCAGCAGGAAGCGCAAGCCACGCTCGACGTGCCACGAGACCGTCATTCTTCGGACGACGACCAAGCCACGCCAGAGAACTCACCACCACCGTCTCCGAACAAGTTCACACCGCGTCACAATCACCTAGAGACCGAAACACTGCGCAGTTCCCTCGGCCATGCTCATCGTATGATACAAAATCTCAAGAGTACAATTCATCGCGAGAAGACCGAAAAGATCGAATTGAAGCGTATGCTACAAGAGGCCCGGGATGAGATCGAACAACGTCGTCGTGAAGCTGTTGCCCCGGCAGGTCCGTCCAACAAACGTCAAAAGACCAAGCCAGATGCCTTCAGAAAACCTGCGAGACCGGATCTGCTCGGAGCTGGCCGCAAGGGGAAGACCGAGATCGAGATCCAAGACGCAGAGTGGGAGGACAACGCCGTAGATGCCACCCCGACACGTCACGCTTCGACCTCGCTGACTCGCGACCGTTCCGTTGAACAATCCTCTGGCTACCCCAGCGACGCTTACCACACTGCTACCGAGGCCGACGATGCATTTGAGACTGCCAACGAGCGGGAAACTGCAACTGAAAGCGAAGCCTTCCAGACTGGCATAGAGAGCATGGCTGATGGCAGTTCTGACACTGATGAGCTGACTGAGACTGAGAATACTGTACAGAGGACCCCTCGCCTACGTGTTTCTTCATCCTTGATCATGGCCAAGGCTCGTGACCGGTCTTCATATCACAGCACGGCATCCACTTCTGCAGATGAAGACGAAGGAGTTGATGAAGTTCTCGCCTCCCCCAGTCAAGCACACGCTCCCAGGTACAGGCTTAGGAAGAAGAGGAGTGTTCTCAGAAAAATCCGTCCGTCTGGGGAGGCCCCTATGGCTTACAGTAGCCGGCCTTCGAGTGCACGAGAGTCGCCTGCGACAAGCTTCAACCAAGATTCGGTTCCCCCAGAAGGACACAGTCTTTTCGAGGAACTTGCAGAACTTGAAGGCGGCGAGGATGAAGACGGAACTTTTGGCGCTAACTCCCAGGCATCCACTCCCCGTATGCTTCCTACGGCTGATTCGCGCAGACCATCGGAGGCCATTCTGGACGTACCGGCCAAGCCGACGATGGTCGATTCAGGCATGATGACCGATCCCTGGCAGCCTACGGAGTCTGCTACTCCTGTAATTGCCGGGGTTGAAGAGGCTGTGCTTGTTGCACCAGCCACGCCAACGAGGGCAACTGCATCCAGTGCTGAAGCCGGCAAGACCACCAACGAGCCACCCAAACTGGTCAATTCTGCGACCCAGTGGACACCACTCAAGTCAGGCGCCGAGTCAAATGGTGATCAAGTACCCAGTGTGCCGACCCCACCGAAGATGGCCTGGGATGATGCATCAGGCGCGGAGCGGGAGATGGCCAGTGTTCCTGCACCTCCAGTCGCTGAGCTAGACTTCTCGTCGATTTCGTCCCAGGAGACCTCGCCACTGGCTCCTGTATTACCGCAATTGACTACATCGTACTTCATCGGCGGAGTAACTGAACCGGTTGCACTTCCTTCTTTGCTGCCGCGGGAGCTGTCTTTGTCCTCCATATCCTCTCAGTCTACAGAGCCTCTCATGGCACGACTTCCAGGACCTGAGCATGTATACTCTCCCCAGATGGTCGTCTCAACTGTCTTCTCGGAACATACGGTTCCTGTTGCCGTTACTCTTCCCGAGCCAGAACCAATGCCTGTTTTGTCTTTTGCGGACCACGCTACGAACACGGAGACGCCACAACTAGATGTTTCGACTATCTTCTCGGAACATACCCTACCCGTTGCTGCAGCACTCCCTGAGCCCGAACCTTTACCTATTATCTCTGTTGCAGACCACTCTACAAGCACGGAGTCTCCGGAGCTAGAGATTTCTTCGATATTGGCTGAGCAGACCGAACCTATCGCAGCTCTTCTACCCAAATCACTTTCCGAACCAGAGCCTGTTGTGATTGTTGAAGATAAGGTGGTGCAGTCTGAGAGCGCGAAACTGGATATCTCCCATATCAGCTCAGCCTCTACTGAGCCAGTTGCACCACAACTCCGCGAATGGCCAGTTCCTCGACTACCTGAGCTCTCATATTCGTCAATCCGGTCGGTAGAGACGCTTCCCGTGGGAGGCACTTCACCTGTTGCGATCATTCCCGGTCTGCAGCTGGCCGATGAGAATATACCTCCGGCGTACTTGAGGGATGCCGTGCAAGAAAACCGGCCTACGGATTCCATGTCCATCGCTAGGGATATCCCAAGCGAAGATGCAGTTGCTGACACAGAAGACGGAAAGTCCGGTGCCGCCATACCGTTGGGCACTATCTCTGGCAACGCCGTTACACGCGACAGGAGACGCCAATCCAACCAGGCTGATTCCGGTGCCCAGACAATATTGTCATCGAAACAAATTGATCAGATTCTGATGGAACGTGTCTCGTCGCGCCCATTGTCTCCTCCTGATAGTGACAAAGCCAAGGAAGCTGGACCGTCGCCCTTTGCAACGCCAAAGGCGCGTCCTCGTCCCACTCAACATGCCTCGACGACATCTCTCCAATCTGCTCAACGTCGTCCAGGGAGCTCTACGAGCTTATCCTCTAGTGTGCACAGCCTCAGCCATCCACCATTACCAGTGGACCACCGGGAAGCTATCATGGCAGCCGAAAAGAAGTCCTTAGAGCAACGGCCCCCGTCTCCTGGTTTGATGGGTCCTCCGCTGGCGCCGGCTTCCGCATACCGATCAAACTCTACCCAGCGCCCACGGACTCCGAACGAATCTGGCATTCAGGTTCATTCCTCCAAGCCAAACATTTCGCGGGCGCAGTTCAGACGCGAAAGTCAAGTGTCCCGCAGATCATCCGTTTCTTCATTTGCATCAGAGCTTGAAGAACGGTTCAACATCCAAGCCTATGCCAATCAGATGCCCAACGGTTACGCAGCGGGAACAGATCCTCGCATGATACAGGCAATCACCCAGACCATGATCGGCGAGTTCCTCTGGAAGTATACTAGAAGGACTGTGACTGGAGAGGTCTCTAACACAAGGCACCGCCGTTACTTCTGGGTTCATCCATACACCAGGACGTTGTACTGGAGTGAACAGGACCCACAAACTGCTGGGAAGAATCAATTGCGGACGAAGAGTGTGCCGATTGAGGCTGTCCGAGTCGTTGCTGACGACAACCCTTATCCGCCAGGTCTTCATTGCCGAAGCTTAGAAGTCGTCAGTCCAGGCCGCCGGGTCCGATTTACGGCCACAACTAGCCAGAGACATGAGACTTGGTTCAATGCGCTCTCGTATCTTCTACTTCGAAACTCGGACGAATCTGGGGAAGGCCAGGATAATAACGTCACGCTGGAAGATATCGACGAGTTCAATCCCGGATTCCGTTCGCAGTCCCAGCAGTCCACGCGCATGTCCTTTTCCTCGTCGCGGAGCCGTACTGTCCGCAATGTGCCCAAGCAGCGTGCTGCCTCCTCCATGTCTGTACGGCAGGCCGTAACCCCGGGCCGTGTATCACCCGCGCTGAGCGCACCGTCACAGGGATCGGGCCTTCAGGTTCCTGATGACGGCCGACAGGGGTCGACATCCCGTCTCAGCACGATCCTCAATACAACGATTAAGGGATCTTTTGGTCGTAAAGGCCGGCCGGGCTATGCCACCTCCAGTATCCACGAAGGGAGTCTTCATGCGGACAGCCTGCACGAGCGCGATAGCGAAGAAGACTTTCGGCGTATGATGGAACAAGATTCCGATCGGCTGGAGAACGTCCGCGCTTGCTGCGATGGCAAGCACGATGTCAGTTCACTTTCAAGGACGAGTCGTTATAGCCCACGCGTCAATCGAATCCACTCGCATCACTGAGCCAGCAGCTGTGCTGTTGTTGACGTCCACGAGTCTCTTTTGTGCAAACCCTCGCACTATCATCCGGCCCCTTTTTGATATACTGCGAATTTGATAAGCGTGCAAATCAGCATCTGAGTCTTTTGACCAGCTTCATCTTCATTCCTCTCTAAGTTCGAGTATCTGCATTCAGCTATCGCAAATTGTCATACGCACTCGCATACTCATGCCGTCGACTTTTGGAACTTAACCTTGTGAACATTCTCCCTACTCTTCGGTGCCTGTTCTTTCTCTGCCATTCTTCTGCACACATTGCATCATGAAATTTTTGGCCTCTTTTTCCTATGTTCGTATCATCAGCCTGACATCCACCTCGGTCGATCCTTCGTTTTGGCTTGACTCTTCCCATTATACAAATTCTGTGCCCATAATGCACAAGTCTACCGCTCTGTATCCTTTTTATTTTCATTTTCTGTGATCTTGGCTCATCTCTGAGGCTGTAATGACGGTGAGAATGACTGGTTATAATAGGGTTGTATCACCACGTTGCTGTTGGCCATCAGTGCTCTTGATTATTGTGATTCTATCTCTGCTTGCCATAGAGGCAAGGCGCAGGAACTGTTCTAGGCACCTACATGAATTGAACATCAAGGATTCCAAACAGTGTCTCATCCTGTAGTGTATATCATCCTATCTGCGAGGTGGCCCTATCGGCCATGGCTATTTTCAAACACCGAGTTGGTTTCCTGAACGGGGTTCGCGTCGGCGAGTCGGCGAGTCGGCAATTGATCATGTCATTTATCCGGTGTTTCTCTCCACAATCTATCCATCATCTTCATTTACTCTACAGACGCCAATATTCTCTTCGAGTGACAATAAATAGACTCATATACACCAACATAAGATCAACATGACGACCCATGAACCCACCACGAGGGAATGGATCCGGATGCTGATTGAACCTGGTCAGCTGCTGGCTTGGGCCATGACCTGTAAGTCATAACATCGCATACACAATTATGAACAGCTCTTCGCGATTCCTGGTAGATGCGCGCAACTGTTGTAGTGCTTTGAACTAGACTTGCTATGCTTGCATTTCTACTCTATAAACCCATTATACACACGTTCATTGAAAAGATATACTAACACCCGCAGATTACACCAAAGTCTGCTTCGAAGCAGTCTTCCACCGGGGCGAAGTCCTCGCCCCCCTCCTGCAAACAAGCAAGCTCCGCGACGAAGCCTTTGGCCGCTTCTGGGTTGATTTCAGCTGTACGCCCCCTCTTCACCCCTTGATTTAATACCAATAGTGGTAGCTACGAAGTACTGATACGTGTCCCAGCCGCGCGCCCAAGCGCCCAACAACAAAACCAAGATCAGGACCAAGATCAAGACCAAGCACCACTCCAACCGCCTCAGATCCAAAACTCAACGGATCTCATCCCTCCCATTTTAGCCAAAGCGTCGGGTGTCGTGCTAGACGTCGGCCCGGGGACAGGGACGCAGATGCCGCTCTTGCGCGCACCCGCCATCAAGGCGATTTACGGCGCGGAGCCCTGCCGCGGTCTGCATGCAGAGCTGCGCGCGCGCGCGGAAGAGGAGGGGCTGGGGCAGAAGTACCATATTTTGCCCTGTGGTGCTGCGGCGGGGGAGCTTGTGCCGGAGTTGCAGAGGGAGGGGTTGCTTCCTGCTGGGGCCGGTGACGAGGATGTGGACCAGGTTCTAGCGAGCGCGGGCGGAGTCTTTGATACGATTGTCTGTGTACGGGTTTTGTGCTCTGTGCCGGAGTTGGAGAGGACGGCGCGAGAGTTGTATGCGCTGCTGCGGCCTGGGGGGAAGTTGCTTGTTGTGGAGCATGTGGTTAATCCCTGGCGGACGGCGAAGGGGTCGCTTGTGGCGAGGGTGATGCAGGCTGTGTATGGCTTCTTTGGGTGGAGTTGGTTTATTGGGAATTGCTGCTTGGATCGGGATACGGAGACGGCGTTGAGGGCGGCGGCCGACAGGGATGGGGGGTGGGAGGTTGTGGAGTTGGAGAGGTGGTTTGGACGGTCTCCGATACCGTATATTTCCGGTGTGTTGGTGAAGAAGAGTACGTAGATGAGTGGACGGCTGCTAGAAAATATATTCGCGATTTATTCATGTAAGTACATGCATCTAGGGTATCATGGTCATAAAATCTTGAATAGACAGGCTGCAATGATGGTTGAGAAGGAAAACGAGATGCAGTCAGCTGGGTTTCGGCCGTCCCGGCGGCCAAAAGTCGAAGAGATCGAGAGCCTCGGACGTCCAAGGCCCCTGCTCCGGCGGATTTTCCTCGATTGGGTATATGTCGACCGATCCTCTGGACAGCAGGGGCCGTGATTGCACGCTGGTGCTCGTTGTCAATGCGGTCGGATCAGACAGGGCTTTGCGGAGACTTTTGGATGCAGATTTTGGTGAACGCATGTTTTGCGTCCTGGCACTTTGGTCAGTTGAGGATGATCCAGGTATCCTCAGTTGACCAGGGCTATTGCTCGTTGTTGGTTGTAAGGTTTGCGCCTTCGCTGCAGACATCGTAGCTTCCACTGTACTTCGTGCGGTAGGGCACCCTAGCCGCTCTCTATGGAGAATTTGAGGTGGATCGAGCACTGGCTTGTCAGCCACCTCTTCAAGAACGAACATGGTGGACTCAGTCGGTATGAAGTCCATATTAGTCGAGGTAGGTTCCAGAGTCGGAAAAGTTTCACTCTCGCTAGACAAGTTAGTCAAGGCCCTGGTGATGTTACAGAGCACATACTAACTGCGTTCTCGACTGCGTTGGCACGATTTTCCTGTCTTGACCGCCTGAGGGCACCGTACGTGCTGTTTTTCCAGGTGTCTGATTAGGGAGCAATGCCTGATACATGAGCTTCTTACGAGGCTGGCTTGTGGATAAGCGGAGTGTTCTCGTTGGCGCCTCCGAAGATGAGTGCGCCGAGATTGATCTTGACGCTGAAGACGGGGCATTGTTTGATGAGTTTTGATACTTCTCAACGTCGCGCTGAACATTGTCAACGGCTGGATCCTTCATTATCGGTAAAGTAGGCCTATTGGAAATAGGGTTCTTCTTCGGCTGGGGGACGGTTCCTTGGATCTTGTTCGGCTTCTGTGGTCTTTCTGCTGCGTTCTCGCTGGATGAATCGGACAAATCGACGAGAAACGGAGAATTGGCGACCGAGCGTCTTGGTTGATGCTCAGTCGGTACTTCAGCCGGGGTGGTCTTTTGACGCTTTGCTGCTCTTTCAGACGCTAGTCGATTGTCTTCCTTCTGTTTCTGACGTTGACGTTCCTCGTAGGGCGAAATAGACAAGCCAGCATGTGTCTTCCGAATGCCTAGGAGATCATTGAGGGACCGCGGCTGTTGTGAGGACATCGAGGACCGGTGGGGAGCAGAGGCACGAAATGGGGGAGCTGACGGTTCCGCTGCTTGTGTCGGTGACTCCTGCATCTTCTTCTTATTGTTGTATAGCGTCGACAGATCTGTCTGTGTCTGCTCCACCGGCTCACAAACTTGGATCAGCACGCCTTTGTCCAGCTCCAGCTCGTCTCCGTCCTGAATCCCCTCGTCCTGTCGCCAATGCAAATCTCCGATGAAATAGCCCGTGGTATCGTAGACCATGACCCGCTTGTTAAACGTATGGTACCGGAGGAAGCCATCGTGCCAGCGCTTCGCTTTGCGTCGGACATCGTGGGTGAAAAGGCATCGAAATTTGATAACGGGCGCGGTGTTCTGCGTTGCGGGAACGTTCAGACTGGCGGTGCCACGCGGGGTTGCTGCTGATGATAAGGGGATCGACATGGCCAGAGGTTGGCGTCCCTCTGATGGTTCACCATCGGGTCCAGAGCAGGAGATAACCGTGTTGACGAGTCTGAATGTTGAACGAAGCGGACGGAACGCGGAACTAGAAAAGAGACAGTAGGCGCGGGAGCCTGACCGTGGGGTTGGCCAGTTGGCGGTCTCGACTTTCTGGTTCGCGTATAGAACGTGATAAGTGCAGCGTCCCCTGGTCCCAACTGTCACATTACAATATTAAATTATCTATACCTCATTGTTCCACTTGGTCCTCTATCTACAAAATGCAGTCCAATTCCCTGGTACGCATGGTCATAATGACCAACGGTGGAATAGTGACACAGCCATCAGACACTTCGATCCATGCCACCCTTGATTGCCAATTATGGCTGTATAAATAGCCTTGATCGACACACCTCCTGCCAATTTCCACGGATGCCACGCCACAACACAGACTCGCAGCTACAAAAATAGTGGATTGGGAAGGGTTCTGTGGGGGGGGGTCTAGACATCGATATTATTTGATGACAGGCTGAAACACAGCCATACTACTACGTACTAGGTATCCTTCTGATCTGATGCAGGACGCGAATTAGCTGCGTCATCTAGGCTGCTTCCATCTTTTCCTTCTTCCCCTTCTCCCTTCGTTATTGTTATGTTTCTTTCTGCCGACTATTTCGCTGCGGCTCCCTTCCCCGCGATTGTTGATTCTGTTAGAACCTAAAGATCCTTCCTTTATCCATGGGTCCCTTCGGGTTGGCAATCTAATCTAACCACGCTGTTTCTTCTACATCTTTAGCTTCCTTCCCCGCTGTCGCCAAACACCTACCCCTATCACCACGTAGCATCAACGAAGCTCAACCAACCTACAAGATGCACAGTGTACAGAGACAATTTGGCAGGTTCATGAAACGATCTGCAGATGAAAGCCAGGTGGCCATTCTTCTCAAGGACTTTGATGAGACCGACAAGCTATTGGGCAGGGTAGGTCTGACTCTTACTTTTTAGACGGCTATCCTATTCTCCCATGCGCTTTTCCTTCGCAAACTCACCATCAATAGATCGTCGAGTCGACACGCGCCTGGCGCGATGCGTGGTCATCCATCCTGCTGCATCAAGAGCGAATGCTCAGCGAGTTCGACGGTATCTATGCCCCCATCATTGGGTCCTCCGATCCCACCACCGCGAAAGCTTCCCCAACGCCAGACGAAACACTAGCCAGGACGCGCAGACTGCGAGAGGAATACGAAGAGTTGCGCAAGGAGCTGACAGAGGAGCTTAACGCCGTGGATCAGCGGATGATCAGGCCCGCCTCGCAGGCGAAAGAGTACCTGGCTCCATTGAAGAAGACCATTAAGAAGCGGGAGGATCGCAAGGTCGCTTGGCCCCTTCTCAGCACTCAAGGCTTCGAGGTTAACGTTGCTTAGCTCGACTACGAACGCTATCAAAGTCGCGTGGACAGCTACACTAAGAAGACGAAGCGCTCAGACCGGGATAACGCCTCGCTCGCCAAAGCAGAAACCGATCTCGTAAAAGCCACAGAGGTAAGACCCTAGCCATTGCGGCGTCCAACCCTACCTAACTCCAGCAGGAATACCACGCCGCAGACGAGCACCTCCGGAAATGCCTCCCCCCTTTAATCAACGCCGCATTCTCCCTGCTCCCCCAGCTGCTAGCCACCCAGATCGAGATCCAAAACACCATGCTGGCAAATTACTACACCGTTGTGCACAACTATTGCGAGGGGGAGCACTTTCCCTCCCCCGCTCCACCCATGGAAGAGATTATCGCTCAATGGGAACGAGACCTGCACCCAATCCAGCAGGAAATCGAGGCATTGGGCTGCCTTGCTAACGGCAAAGTCGTCCGCATGTCCCAGGCCCCAGAAGACCACGGCAACGGCAACGGCAACGGCCTCTCCAGCCGCCTCACAAACGGCCTCAATTTCCGGCGTCGCTCCAGCGGACAGGGTGCAGGTGCAGGTACAGGCACATCACATCCAGTGCCACCACTGCCGCCATCCGGGCCGTCGCCATGTCGCGATCACGATCGTGAGCGTGAGCGTGAACGTGAACGTGAACGCACCAGTAACAGCAGAGTCCCTCCCGCCCCAACGCCAAACTTCGAAACTAAACCCCTCCCCGTCTACGAGACAAAACCCCGTCTGAATGATCTGACCCCGTCCTCCCTCTCGCCTAATCTCGCCGTGCCTAGCGCACATCTCTCCCCCTCAGCGACCCCGCACAGCGATTCCCACCTCCCCGTCCCGGGCTCGGAATATGCCCAGACGCCGCTGAGCGGGCTCTCCCCCTCCTCGCGATCGGACTACTTCAGTCTCAACTCCCGAAAAGCATCCAGTGGCTCGACGGTATCATCCCCGGGCTTTGCTGCCGCTGCGGCCGCGAAGAAGAAGCCGCCGCCTCCTCCGCCTCCTCGCGCCGGTTCCTCAAACGGAGCGCTATATGTCACTGCCCTCTATGACTTTGCGGGTCAGAGTGCCGGTGACCTGGCCTTCCGTGAGGGTGATCGAATTCGAGTCCTGCAGAAGACGAAGAGCACCGATGACTGGTGGGAGGGGGAGCTGCGAGGAGTCAAGGGGAGCTTTCCAGCCAACTATGTTCAATAAGCAATAGAAGCAATACCCTGTGTGTCTATGTCGATAACCGTTAAAAAGCCCAAGTTAAGAAGGAGTACTGGAGAATATTGGCGGTCATTGAGTTTAACTCAATTTGACTCCTATGCGTAAATATAGGAAGTATACTAGATAAAGCGCCAAAGACGCAGATGATCTGATCAAAGCGCCACTATCAAACCCCGCATGCCAAAAGTGACGATGCTTGTCTACAAATGTTTCGGACCCGGCAAGCAATTTCCTGGCTGCAGATTCAATAAATCATACGAACGCTCCCTCTTGCGCGCCGTCTTCCGAAATTTTACTTTCAATTTGTCCCCGTCGACTGCTCAGAAACATCTCCACCATGTGCTTGCTTGACACCGGCGAAGGCATGTCGTGTGGATCTCCAAACTGGCCCAATTTATCCGGCCGCTCGCCAGCCCTCGCATTCTCGTTGGTCGTTCTTTTGATCGAGCGGCGCTGCTGAGTCCTCGAATCTGAAGAAACTGTCAGACGCCGTGCCGAGTACTTGCGATACCGCTCGCTTGCCAATTCTGTCTGCTGAGAGTCCGCTCCACGCCTCTTAGGGGTGGGAGAATCCAGTGTCTGAAGTCGATTGCTTGATCTCGCTTGCATTGGCGACAAGGTGGGCTCATTCTCGCGCGTGCGTACTGCTGTGGTAGGCAAAGTGTATCCCTGAGAGTAATGCTTCACACTGAGAGAAGTGAAGACCGAATCCGCGGATAGAGAAGCCTGCTCCTTTGCGTGCTCTTTTCTAGACGGTACAATCGTGCGGACGCTCGACGACCGACTGAATGGCCGGGAGAAATTATTGCTTGGTACAACTTTGCCGTCGGTTTCCACTTCACCCTCGGAATTACTCTGAGACAGATAGCTTGTCTGATGATACGGGGATTCGCTGTTTCCGGAGACTTGGTGAGGAGCTGATGATAGAAAGTCCCCGGCCTCCTCATGAATCTGTGCATCCTCTCTATAGTGATCTCTAGGGGCAACGATTGTCTCGAATCTTGCCATCTGTGAAGACATCCACTGTTTCCATTCAGCACTGGGCCGCACTCGGGTTCCACTGGACGACGAGCGAGCAATACGCTTTGGGGAGCAGTAAGCGGTCCTCTGGCTTTCATAGATAGTCACCATCCCCAGCTCATCCTCCGTTTCCGATGAATACAAATCGATAGTCTGATCTTTCCTTTCAGGAGAATTCCCACTGGTTGTCCGAGAATAGATGCTAGGAGTGTTGGAGAGAGTTTCTAGATCGGCATGACTGGCGACGATCACGCTTCGGGAATCGTCCTCGGTATCTTCAGCACTTGCAGCGGCAGGCTTCTCTGCATTGCCGACTGGACTGAAATCCAGGGTTGCGCTCGCTTCCTTCGGCGCACTTGATATCCTTCGGGAAGGCATGGACGACCGGGGATGGCGCTGCGTCTGCTGCTGAGGAGTTGAAGTCCCTGCGTTGGCCGTGGCAAATGTCCTGGAAGTCGCAATCGATGCATCGCTTGGTATCTGGCGGATGGTCTGCTTACTGCGCCTGGGGCGAAGGGAAGACGTGCGCGCTGGTATGAGTCGATGCTCTTTGACTTGGCCCACTACAGCCTCCTCACTGGGACTTGGCGTATCTTCTCTGCCGATCCGCCTCAACAACGCATCGTACAAGTGCTTACTGTCGATGGAACCGTCTGGTCGTATTGGACTTGGTCTTGGCGGAAGTTCGGAACTGGCACGCCCGTTWAAGTCTCCTTGTTCGTTAATGATGGACAGACAGTCACGCTCGGGTGCTCTGCGGGTTGCAATCGTATTTGTGACGGTTGAGTCAGCCCAACTTGTTACACGAGAGCGGGAAGAAGCAAGGCTTTCATTGCTTCGAACACTCCGCACCGTGGGTGGTCTGCTTTGGCCGATGGCCTCACGGGAACAGTCAAATTCATCGGCGTGGCCAAAATCGTCATCAAATATGGTCGACGATGGGCCATAATCGTGTTGCTGAAGTGAGGAGGGTGAAGCTTCCGCTTGCCCCGGAGCCGTTGATGTCTTTGACAGCCTCAAAACCCGCTTCAACCCTCTCTTGATAGACGAAGAAAGAGCCCGCGCTTTTCCACGAGAAGAAACTCTTTTGGACCGCCCCGCCGATGGTGACGCATCTATGTCCATACCCGAGCCGCTGGTAGTGCGAAATGTCTTTCTGAAGGGTTTATGCTCACGCCTCGGCTTGAGCATGGTGATGGACGATTGTCTTTGGCTACTGGGTTGTCCGCCCATGTTCTCCTGGAACTGACTGCGTGCGAGTTGAATAGCGGCTTCTTGACTCTGCGTGTGGCGGACGGCTCTAGGAGATTGACCACTTCTCAGAAAAGACATGGAGCGTCTCAACGTCCTGTAAGAGCGGGGCGTGTCAAATTGCTCTGTGTCATTAATCCTCCGAGCATATGCATCAGATGAGAATTCGTGAGAGATATACGAAGAACGCTGTCTGGTTGAGAACATCGAACGTGCTTTACGAAGCCGGCGGTAGGATGAGGGCAACGAGGAGTCACGACCATCCAGGCCTCGAAACTCACTTATTGGCGGCAAGGCTGCCGAGAAAGTGAGGTCATCGTCGCGGCTTTCTATGTAGCTCGCAACGGATCGGCGAGAAGGTGAAGCGTCTTCGACTGAAGGATTCTTGGCCGGGGCTTGCGTGTGACGGGGCGGCGGGGGTGGTCTTCTCGATGGGACTGCCATGCTTTCCGGGCCACCTAGACGGTCATACGAGTGCTTCGAGTCTGCAGACGATCTGTCCGAGGAGCGCAGCATGGCGCGCGAGGCAGCTGCAGCGGCATGCTGTCTGGCAATAGACGGGTCGAAGGGCTCTGAGGGTAAAGAGGACTGACGCGACCTGCGGATGGAGCGAGCGGACTGGCTTCGACGCAGGCGATCTCTTGCGGTTAGGGATATAGAGGACATCCTTGGCATGATTTATTCGAAGAGGATATAGTTGAGTACTGATGTGAGCTAAGGGATGAGTATGAATGAGGGAGGTTCTACAACATGGAGATACCTTATCGTTGGGGTAAGGGGTTGAACAAGGTAACCGCGCCGAAATAGAAGGTGCTTGGGGATGCCATAAACGCAACATGATGGCGACAGGTCCCAGGCGCAGCTTCCTTGTTGCTTCAACATCTACGAACATTGGCAGTTGTGGCAACAGCCAATTTCTTGCAACCCTCTGCCTTTACCCATGACCATGAAAAGAGATACTGGACCACTAGACCCGAAATAATGTTAGCTCGTCGATTTCGACCCAGCGAACTACTGAGCGCGCCCCCAAGTGATATTCCCCTGTGTATGGAAATACCGAGCATCTGTCTTCCGATATGACTGTTCCGAGTCCATTGTGATCACTCGTTATCACCCATGAAGATAGTATTTCTTCTGCGGTACATCTTCATAAGAAAATCGAGAAAGCAAACTGACAGCCTCTTGATTCCCCTTCTTCCGTGCCAGTTGAATGTCGTCCGGCTCAGGATGTACCCCATACTCGAGCAGAAACCTCAGTATCTCCATCTGGTCATTATAAATCGCAACGTAGGTAGTGCTGTAGAACACCGGCTCCTCCTCAACGGACAAGCCGTTGCACCAAGTCAAAAAGTTATCCTCCATGTCGCCAGGCTCCAGAAGGGAGCGACTATCAATCTTCCGAAGAAGCTGGACGTGATTTTTCTCCCACCTCCTGTCGTAGCAATCACCCAGCCGGTTGGGATCCGCGCCGTGGGCGATGAACAATCTAACCATATCTAGGTACCCTTTCGAGATTGCAGCAAACAGCGCATCACGCGCATAACACGTTCCGTGGAGTCCATTCACCAGCAGGAAGTGCAACAAGTCCGTATCTCTGCGATTCATGGCCATCGGCAGAACATACCAGCAATGATCGCACGATCCGTGGCGCAGTAGGGTGCGAATGATCCGGTGCTGATTATGCTGGATTGCCCAAAGAAGCGGACACGTATTCAACCCGTAGCAGGAATCTCGCCTCCCAGATAAAAGATCCACAAGGTCCTCGTGGCCGTTCTGTACGGCGAGATAGAGCGGTGGGATGTTGTTAATGTAGCCCATGGGACAACGGAACATGGTCTGCGCGCCGTGATCGAGAAGAAGATTGACTACGCGCTTTGAACCAGCTTGCACGGCTACCAGCAGCGCACGCTGAATGAGGACGGTATCCTCGACCCTCCAGTTGGTGGTGCATAGAGGGTGTTTGTACKGGTTGCTTACACGGGGGCCTTGAAAGGACTCGGCGGCGAGTGCCATCCTCTTTAGGCATTCCATAGCGAGTCCGTCATCACCATGGGCTGCGGCGCAGCATAGAGGGTCTCCATGGCAAGCCTGGTAGCTGTGTTTACTGAGATATCCTTTCAATAGATGGTACAATCCACGAGAGGACAGGACGAGGGCCCTGAGGTCCCTGTAGCAGGCCAGATGGCTGGCGATCAGAAAGATGACTTCGTTTGGGAGTTTGGAGAGGGACATGGCGAAATCCAGTCCGGTCGAATGCAACTGTAGGGATGTTGTGGATTTAGGAATGGAAACGAGGCTAACGAGGCTGACAAGGCTGACGAGGTTCTGCGGGGCTTTGATCACTCCGAGGCTGAGACTAGCTAGGTTTACGATGTGACGATGCTTACTGTCATTGTAATAATATGAGCAAGAGATCCATCCAAGGTCAGGAATACTTCTCAGTTCTATAGTGAACAACTTTCCCGACTGGTGGTCAAACCATGACTATTGCCCTGTTCCTGGTGTGTTATGGATATATAGTGATCCATTTGCCACAGCAGTACCTTTTCGAACATGCCTGCATTTAACGTGTCTATTCTATTTCCTTATCTGAACGCATTTGTGATACCAGGATTGCTCAGAAGAAGTTTATTTGGCCCATGGATGAATCCTCGAAACCTGCCGATGCGTCACTAATTGAGTCATGCAATGAAGTCCAGGCCTGACTGTGAGTCACGTATATATACAGTAGCCGCCAACCAGTAAAAGGTTAGAATCACTTTTAAAGACATAGGCAGCATTGTGTTTTGGTTTGTTAGAATATATTTTGCCAAATGAGAATATATATGTTTAGTCTCCCGTTCGACAACACAATATCTCCTTTACCAAAAATGATAAATGCACCCCACAAGGTCCCCTCGAACAGCCAGATATGTCGTCATCTCCAACCAGACGAGAAATGATTCACCTTGACGGCCGCACTCTTGAAGGAGGAGGTCAATTAGTGCGTATCGCGCTGGCCCTGTCCACCATCACCGGCCAACCCATTACAATCGACAACATTCGCGGCAACCGCAAGGGCAAGAAGGGTCTCAAAGCATCCCACCTTGCTGCCATAAAATATCTGGCAGACGTCAGCGGGAGTGACGTCTCAGGCGCCGAAGTGGGATCGTCTTCATTGACCTATCATCCCCCGGCAGATGCAGAGACCCGCGTTCGGCAAAACGGAGAGATCAACATCCACCTCCCAACGGCTGGATCTATATCACTGGTCTTTCAGGCTTTGTATCCGTATCTACTTTATACAGGAAACTGTATAAGCGACGAAGAACCACAGCCCGTCCGTGTGAGCATCACAGGAGGCACGAACGTATCCTTTTCGCCGTCATATGATTACGTCTCGCAGGTCCTGGTACCGAATTTCGCCGGGGTTGGGCTTCCACCGCTCGCCGTCCATCTGGAGAAGAGAGGATGGGGGACTGGACCGTTCAGTCTGGGGAAGATGACGTTCGTCGTTCACCCGATGCGCAGGAGCCAGGAGTCTCCTTATGGGTTCCCGCGAGTCGATCTAGACAGATACCCGCGGGGCAAGATCACCCATATCGATATCACGGTTTTGGCACCGGATACTCTCCTTATTGATCAGAATACACATCGAAAGAAGGGAAATTCACAAAGATCGGACAATACATCTCAGTCTACGACTATCCGCCAACTCATCGAGTATGAAACCGTGCGTATCCTGCGCGCTCGACTCCGAAAGATACACCACTCGGTATTCAAAGAAGGAAGCGCGGGCCCACCAGACAGTCCGTATGGAAACGACGAGATCCCGCCTATAAATCTACGCGTCTCAGAAAGAACGCACCACCGCTCACATATTTACATTCTCATCGTGGCATATACATCGAATGGGTTCAGGATAGGTCGAGATTCGCTTTTCGGCGCTCACGGGGAGGATTCTCTGGGAAAGACGTCCCACCGAAAAGGTCGACCGACAGATGATAGGAGTATAGCTATAGAACTGGTCGAGAGATGCGTGGATAAATTTGAGGGTGAGTTGTATGACCCACGGCTGCACGCTATATGTGAAGGACGTCAGCCCTGTGTGGACGAGTATATGCGAGATCAGCTGGTTATATTCGAGGCGCTCGGCAGGTCTACGTCCAAGAATGAAGCCGATGGCAAGGAAAAAGAGGATGAGGAGTATTATAGTCTCCATACGCGGACAGCGCGGTGGGTATGCAAGCAGATGTTGGGCGTGGAGTGGTAAAGATGTCACAAGCTTTACAACCAAGAAAACTACAGGCTTACCTCAAACATGCAATCATTCAAACTCACGGGCAGCAGGTAGAGAGTACTAATATCACCGCTTGACCGCAACACCAATATACATCTTGGCCTCATCCACCAACACACCCTCCTCCCCAGCTTCCTCCACAAACCTCTCAACAAACAGCCTCTTCGCCCTGTCCCTTACTGTCCCCTCCCCGAAATTCCTAAACATAGGACCCGAAACCGCCTGCTCGAACAGCTCCCCAGCCTGCTCAACCCTGTACTCCTTCACCTGGAAGACAGGACTCAAATACACCCTTTCGACCACCAACCCGGCCTCCCTCAACAACCCAGCCAACGACTCCTCATCCCTCACCCAGCTCTGATCCCACAGCAACGACAGCCCCAACTCCGGCCCAATCCGCTCAAAGATCCGCGCAGGGACATGCACATCCCGAGCCGCCACATCCGTAACCAGCCTGCCGCCATCCCTCAACAGCGCCGCCCAGCACTGTATCGCTGCAAGCGGATCAGGAAGCAGCACCAGCGCCGCCGCACAGGTGATCAAATCGAACTGCCCTGTGCCATTGCCTTCGCCTCCCGGATTCAAATCCAAACCAGTTAAATCAGAGATATCATGCTGGTAGAAGGTAACTCGCGACCCGGTTCTCTGAGCCTTTTCCCGCGCGACCTCCAGCATCCCCTCGCTGATGTCGACGCCGACTACATACCCTGTCGGTCCGACCTGCGCCTCTGCGAGGAAGGTGACTAGCCCCGTGCCGCAGGCGAGATCGAGGACATGTTCGCCTGGCTGGGGGACTGCGGCGCGGATGTATTCCTCTGCGAGACGGTGGTGGAAGGTGGCGGTGTCGTAGGCGGTGCTTCGTTCGTTGTAGATGGATGCGATCGTTGAGGGGTTGGATGGAGGCATTTTGGATTACGATATTAGCTGGTGGTTATCACATCGATGGAGTATGGTAGATGGGCAAGTTGTACTAGTGTCCACACTGGTTCATTGAGGTTTTATTGGATATCTCAGTCAAAAGTCACTCAGAATCCGACAATAATCGATCTCCTGATGATATTGAGTCGGTTTGTAGATGATACTTGTTACTAGCCGCTACTTTCCATTATTCCCTCATGCATGTGAGCGAAGCGGAGCTGGCAAGTCAGAGAGCGACACATAGAATGGCTTTCACTACCTAGATATCAGTCATCAGAATGCGGATCCAACATGATGCGGGGTGATATCATGTTCCAAACAACCATGTAGAGCAACAGCAAGTGCAGTACCTTATTCGACTCTTTACTGATCGACATGACCCACCGGTTTGATCTAGTATGGGCTTGTATCGCACTCTCGGCGAATTGGACCAGGAGCCCCTCATAGGTTGTATTGATTGACGTTTATTGCAGCTGATGATGAGCTGTTCATCACTGTTCCCTTGATTGGTTATACTATCCTGCATAAATGTCCTATACAGTTATGCCCAAATTATACGCCACGACGACCAGTTGGCGGTGCAGGCCTGGGCTTGGGCGCAGTGACCATGGTACAGACTCCCGAGGCCCGACAAGGAGGCAAATGCTTGGACCACGGGGGAAGACGCTAAATACAGAAATTTCAGGTCCTGTATTTGAGTCTCACTCCCCCGCTATAGATAGGTGCAGAGAAGGGTCTAGAACTCTGCCTTTTCGTCGTCTGTAAGCCACCCCGTGGGAGGCGTCGTCAAGCTCCGCCATTTCTGCAAGGGATTGAAATACCAGATCAGGCACGGAGTGATTCACATGCATGAGATCTATCAGGTACATAACGTGCTTTTCTATCATTCTACTGTGTACGAGAGACGGTGTCCTTTAAGTCTTTGACTATGTAGAAGTACAATTCCTAGGTTGCCGAGACCCGGGGCATTGAAAGTTGAAACCATGACAGGACAAGAGGCGTGGTGCAGCCCCACCGGCCACGCAAATTTACGGTTCCATTTCCTGGTATCTCGACTAGAGCGTACCGTAGAGAGGAGAAGGATACACACTAATCCACACTAAGAAATAAAACCCATGAACCGGTCGTTTTGTCCCGTGTTCCTAAGTCATAATTCCTTCGTTATCACCTCCTTTTGAGTCCCACTTGCTGCTGCGAGACCGAAAAAAAAAGGAGAGGAGAAAGGAGAGAAAGCCTCCCATGTCCTCTTTATTTGCTCTGTCTTCATGACTCCCCCGTTTCTCCATACTCTGACGTCTCTGAAGATGCCCTGGATCGAGTCATCGGGCATCTAGTGACCTGTCGTGCTTGATTCCCCACTAGAGCTTTATTCCGTCGCTTATCCCCCGTCAACATGAGTGCAGAAACACCTCGAGCCGATGGAACCGACAACGGTCAGTCGGAAGATTCACCTACTACTGATCTACCAGGAAACCTACCGCCGTTAGAGGAGCAACCCGAGACCCCCGTCCATGAAGCGCATCGCAAGACGTCCACCCAGGAAAGCCAGAGTCAGGAAGGCCAGCGTGAAGGTTCGCATCAGGATGTTCGGTCCACCAGATCGTCGTCTGTCTTCAGTCGAGATCGGTGGCTGCAGGCTAGCCGATCAGTCAGACAGAAAACCGGGCGGCTGGCAGACAAGCTAGGCCGGCCTGAGGGACAGGATGCGAACGGGCTGGGCTCCTCGTTGGTCCCAATGGAAGAGCTGGGCTCGAGGGACGACGAGAAGTTGGCGGCCATCTTCCGAAACAACAAGGATTCGGGGCTCTCTGATCAGTCCAAGCTGCAAATGGCGGTGGATGCCGAAGCTCAGGAGCTGATGCAGGGCTTTGGTCTGGCAGAGATGCGCCAGCGCAAACCGTACGCAGAGTCGAACGAAAAGGAGAGCGCGTTTCCCGAATCGGATGCCACGACGCTGGCTGATCGTGCCGCGACAGACGTCGAGGCCAATGGCAATCCACCCCCTCCGCTACTCGGAGGAGGTGTGCTGTCGGCGCTGCTCCGGCTCCAGGCGAGCCAGATGGAGCATTCGCGCACCAACAGCATGTATTCCGCCCCCGAGTCCGACGTCGAATCCACGCCTACACTGTCCGGCACGGTGACTCCCACTCCAGGCGTGCCCCATTCCGCCTCGAGTCCTCCGCCTCCCCGACAGAAACCGCAAGCATGGTACAAGAAGTCCAGAAACAGCTCGACCGCCTCGTTGATCCATGCGTCGATGAGTATGGGCCGTATCGGCTCCGCGTCGGCCTGGGCCAATGCGAACGTACCGCCGCCGGAGATCAAAAACGGCAACAAGGGCAACAAGGGCAACAAGAAGAAAAAGAGGAAGAACGACGAGGAGGTGAAGCTGCGGTATCATATCGCAGACATCATCGTCCGTCAACGCTACATCATGCAACTGTGCCGTGCGTTTATGCGATACGGTGCCCCCACCCACCGGCTGGAAGAGTACATGCAGATGACGGCTCGCGTGCTGGACATCGAGGCGCAGTTCATGTACCTTCCCGGCTGCATGATCATGTCCTTTGACGATCCGTACACTCGCACCGCGGAGGTCAAGCTGGTCCGTGTCCCCCAGGGGTTGGATCTGGGCCGTTTGGAAGAGGTCCACGGGTGTTACAAGCGGGTGACGCACGACATGACGGACATGCAGACGGCCATCGGCGAGCTGACGGAGATCATGGACCGCAAGCCGCGGTATCCGCGCTGGCTGGTGATCCTGCTTTACGGCGTGGGCTCGGCCGCCGTCGGCCCGTTTGGCTTCTCAGCGCGCCCGATCGACATGCCCATCATTTTCGTGCTGGGATGCTGTGTCGGGTTCATGCAGCTGGTTCTCGCTCCGCTTTCGGCCCTGTACTCGAACGTCTTCGAGGTCACGGCGGCCATTCTGGTCTCCTTCCTGGCCCGCGCCTTTGGCAGTATCCGGTACCCCGGCACCTCGGACCCGGTCTTCTGCTACGCCACCATCACCCAGTCCTCCATCGCCCTCATTCTACCCGGTTTCTCCGTGCTGACGAGCAGTCTGGAGCTGCAGTCGCACCAGATGATCGCCGGCTCGATCCGTCTCGTGTACACCATCCTCTACTCCCTCTTCCTTGGCTACGGCGTCACAGTCGGAACCACCATCTACGGCGCCATCGACTCGAACGCTACCAGTGACACCACCTGCGCCCGGCAGAGCGTCTGGGGCAGCCCATACGCCTCTCACTTCCCCTTCGTCGCCGCGTACTGCGTCATCGCGGCGTTGATCAACCAGGCCAAGTTCCGACAGATTCCCATGATGGTCCTGATCGGGACCTCGGGCTACATAACCAACTATTTCAGCACCCAGAAGCTCGGCTCCTCGTCGCAGGTCGCCAATACCGTCGGCGCGTTCACCATCGGCCTGCTGGCGAACTTGTACAGTCGGCTCTGGCACGGCAACGCGGTGAGCTCGACCATCCCCGGTATCTTCACCATGGTGCCGTCGGGTCTGGCCTCGTCCGGCTCGATTCTGTCCGCGATCGAGTACTCGGATGCGGTCCGGAATGGAAACGCCGATTCGTCTGGTGGTGCGTCGGGAACCTCCTTGACCAGTCTGGGCTACGGTATGATCCAGACTGCCATCGGCATTACTGTTGGGTTGTTTATTGCGGCGTTGGTTGTTTATCCTTCTGGCAAGCGGAGAACAGGGTTGTTTTCGTTGTAATCTGCATTAGATTAGCATAGCGGTTTGTCAGTTAAGCGATTGTATTTCGAATTTATAGTTTTAATTCATAACAGACTGTAAATTTATGGCCTTGTACTCAATTGATGTATCATTGCATGCCATTATAGTCGACGTAGGATTTGGTTTATAGAGTCATATTTGGTTGTCTCAACAACAACTAGCATCATTGGTCTAGTGGTAGAATTCGTCGTTGCCATCGACGAGGCCCGTGTTCGATTCACGGATGATGCAATCTTTTTTCACATGCTTTTTTCTCTTTCGAGAGAAGTACCTCTCTACCTTGCCTTTCAATCTAGTATGGTATCTTTTTGCCTAAGCCAATTGCAGACGGGTGCCTAAAGTGTACTCCGTTCAACCATGGACAGAACCACGTGGACGCTGACACCGACACCGACACCGCTACTCCGTACACTGGCTCAGCGACGTCACCGACCATCCAGCAAGCTGATCCACTACAATTACCCAGAGGAACAGCCAGGCCCTTCTAACTCCAACCTAAACTTTCTGACATATACGGCATGCAATAATATAGACAGCAGGCATGGACAAACTCAGCCTCTACATCCTCACCTTCAATTGCGCCCGCAACCCCGTCGACGTCGACCTCTTCGCCGCCCACTTCTTCCACGCCCTTCCCCACACCGTCACCTCCGCACCGGAGCTCATCGCCCTCAGTCTCCAGGAACTTGCCCCGATCGCCTACGCCTTCCTCGGCGGCTCTTACCTAACACCCTACTTTACCTCGTTCCGCCAGGTTGTCGACCGCGCGGCGGCAAGTCGCTGGGAGGATGCGCAGTATGTCACTGTGGTTGAGGACCATGTAGGGATGACGGGGTTGATGGTATTTGCGCGGTCGGACGTCGTCTGGCGGATCACGTCAGTACAGACCGCGAGAGTCGGACTGGGCTTGCAGCAGATGGGGAATAAGGGGGCTGTTGGGGCGAGGCTGCGGTGGTCGTCGGAGTCCGGGACGGTGCCGCTGACGTTTGTCGGGGCGCATCTTGCTCCTGCGGAGGATGCGGTTGAGCGGCGGAATGAGGATTGGAGGGGGATCGTGGAGAGGTTGGTTTTTTCAACCACAAGCCATGAGGAGGATTCGGAGCGGGCGTCGTTGCTTGGTTCGTCAACGACGACTGGGGACGGTGACCGGGACGGTGACGGCGAGGGCGAGGGTGAAGGGGAAGGTGTGTTTACGGCAGGTTACMTCTTCCTCGCGGGCGACCTCAACTACCGCACCTCCAACACGATGCCGCAGCCGGCCGACTTCGGGCGATTTCCGCTGCTGGATGCCGACGCGAGCAGCCCGCTGCATTACTCGCGGCTGCTGCGCGACGACCAGCTCACGCGCGAACGAGAAAAGAGCCGGTGTTTCCACGGCCTGTCTGAAGCGCCGATCGCCTTCCCGCCGACGTACAAGTACAAGCTTGGGGCGTGCAATCCGCGCCAATGGAAGTTTGTCCTCAGTCGCTGGCCAAGCTGGTGCGACCGGATCCTGTATCGGGATTCTTCTTCGACGGCGAAGGTGACGCCTTACCGATACGACGTGCTGCCTCTGTTTCCGACGTCGGACCATCGTGCCGTTGCGCTCGCGGCAGCGGTGGCCCTACGGACAGTCCAGGCTGGTCCATCCGATTCAGAATCTGCACCTGCGACAGACGTGCAGCAGCCGCAGCAACAGCCGGCGGCTCCGTTTCCGATCGACCAGAATTGGAAACGCAAACGAGTTGAGGCCCGACGCAAAGAGCTGGTGGTGGGTGGATTGGCGTATCTGGGGTTGACCTGGGAGGGCCGTCGGATCCTGGTGGGCATGGTCCTTGGCGGATTGGGGGCGTGGTTCGTGCTGCGATCGATGCTCAGCCTTTGACTCCGTCCGATATGACCTGCAGTGGCCTTGTATCAGACGTGCAGGCATGCTGTTTCAAGATCGCGATCTCGGGACAGCCCCATGTCGATCCCGATGTATCGATCTGTAGACCTGGCCTCTGGGCTACAGCGCCAGACGGGTGACACAGCGGCTGTATTATCGCAGGAGCGCCTAGCCAGTAGCCGCATTGATTGAAGTGCAAGTCGAGAAGGCGCCACGCAGCATGCTTCTAGAGTTCTAGAATACCTCCCGAAAGCGGGTCCGCTGCATCACCTGCTGACGAGGCATCTGCCCAGCACTTGTCAATTTCTCACAAGTCGCAAAGTCACAAGTAGTCATTGCAGATCCTAGGCACTAGGGTACTCCCGGTTGCGACACCGTACTACCTATGGTCACCTGAGCCACGCAAGGATCTAGAACAGTCGGGAATAAAAAGCCGAGAGAAGTCTAATAATTGGTGGAGGCTGAGATACGACGACCAGGAAGGGAAGGATCAACGAGCCGTGAAATCCTTCCATCATATATCTGGGTATCTACAAGCTGTGTCTACAGAGTCAATCATAGAATAAATCGAATGGACGCGTATAGACCTTAAAGCTACCAGGCCACGAACACACCCTGATATTAATCCAAGACATACTCAATGATCGGAAAAGCAGAGATTTCCCCGTCCCACTAGTCATTAAATCTCGACAGTCGGCTCCGGGCTAGCCAGTAGTAACTAAAGCTAGTAAAGGAAAAGCTCCGCCTCGCCTCATGAAACCAATCTATCTCAGATCCTGTCACAGAGTGGAAAAATCTCGCTCATATGGCCGACTGTCATATGATTGTTTTACTGCTTTTTGGATGATTCCGGGAGCGGGATAAGCCGCCTGCCTCTGGCTGTACCGTGATCAAGTGACCAGCTGCATTAGACCCTGCTAGTATCTATTCCTTTGATCCGGGAAATATTAGGCACGATGACGGAGTACAAGAACCTACGGTGTACCTCGTACTTCGGACAGCGCGAGGCTGGAGACATCTCGTGTCCGTGTCAAGTCCACCGAGGCAACAGTCTCAGTCACAGTCATAGTGGAGCCAAGGCCCAGATCCAGATCCAGACTCCATCTGTCCAATTTTCCAGAGCTTCCAGAAGGTTCAAAAATTCAGAGTTTGCTGGTGAGACCTGGACTTGAGACCAGATTAATATGGTTCAGGTACAAGGACCATGTCTACTTGAAACGGTTGGGGGCGGTGGATCGTGCAATTTCTCGACTCTGTTCTAGATGGATGATATTGACAGTGCTTATCATTTTTAGGGCATGGCTGAGTAGAGCAGATAGAGCGAGGCTGTAGGATTGAAATATGAAAGATAAGTTTTAATAGTGGTTTTATTGCTGTCAAACATGGACGCTGCGAGTCATTTTGTGTGTGCAGATGCACTGATGTTCTATGTAGATCACTCGATATTATTTATGCGGACTATCTATATTAGCATCACCTAATAACACATAATTCATCTGCCTGGCAGCCGGAAGACGCGGAGTGAGGCCTTCAAGTACAGCCATGACCAGAGAGTAAATAGAGTCGGTGATGCCCAGTGTTGCCTGTCAGAGAGCTGTCAGACTGACTGCGGTGGATGTCAGAGTTGAGCCGTTGAATCGGTGCGTAGATTGATTGGCTTAATCTACAGATGGATCGGATTCATTTAAGTGTCATAATACTGAGGCAAAATAAAGGATTTTCACTTTCCGAGTTCTCCGTTCAGTCTCCATAGAATCTCGCTACAATTCTAGATAGTAGATATATAAACCCCTTTTACCTTCGATCTACTTTTGGACCTTTTCCCTGACAGCTGGACTCGATTTCACTCATTTCATCATATTCGTTTCGATATCTCTGCGACTATCTAGTCCACCTGCCAACTGCAACTGGAACTGGCAAGCTAATATTGTGGCGGAGCTAGACCATCGACCAGGCCTTGCAAGCGTGCCTTAGCTGCCATACTAGACTCCTTCTTGTCCTGTCTGCAAGACAGCTCTCGGTGCTTTTGACGTCAGCCTGCGCCGTGTGGCTTGGTTTTTCTTTTGCTCCTTCGTTTATTATTTGGGGAGGTAATTACTATTATTATTATTATTACCTTATTTTCCGGCTTCTCGACTCTATTTCTATTGCGACAAATCCGCACTGGAGCTTTTCCTTCGACGCCCAATTTCAGCCCTAGAAAGGGAAAAGAAACTAAAATCAGCCAGAAAAAAAGAGGGCAGAAAAACAGAGGGAAAAAAATTTAGTGGAGGAGAAAGGGGCAACGACAATAATAACAAAACGTCCACCTTTCTATCTGCGACTCCTAACTCATTCTATCGTCCTCTGTCAACACTCGTTCTCATATCGTGACCACTCGTCCAACATCAACATGTTCTCCTGCGCCAACTATCCTCGCGGCTGCCGTGGCCGCGCCAATATCGAGGGAGGAAAATGCCCTGATTGTGTGGTATGCATCATCTACTCCGTACAGCCTCCAGTTTGAATACTAACAATACATAGTCACTCAAGCTCCGTCGGCCCTCAGCTCTTTCATCACCCTTTGCGCAACCAAGAGACTACCGACGAGCCCTACCATCAGAGATCCTGAACGACTCGCCTTACCGAGCCATCGTCCAGGGCCTGTGATGCGATGAAAGAATGAAAATCAAAAACCCCATGACTCGATGATCGTCCCGCCGGCCGGGACTCGGATCCTTTTTCGCGGGGAGAGTTCCTCATGCATTTCCGGAGTTACTACACTACACTATACACTACACTACACTACAGCCGTCTACGATACGAGTCGCGATGGCGATCTGCGGAGTTTGACTTTGGGGATCGCCTCGGCTGGCCGATCAATCCTCTCCTTATTGAAAGGCGACACTCCTTTGATCTCATTGAACTGGAAGATAGAATGGACCGGACTGACTGGACTGGCGGTGATGGACACCGACTGGACTACGGTCCAAGGCGCAGGCGGTTATCTGATTGTTCCCTCCTTTACTATTTCATTTTCATTTTTGATCTTTTTGTCTGCACATACCATACCCTGTTTAACTTCCATACCCTGTTTAACTTGATGTCCAATTCTGTTATGTTTATTTTGTGTACGCAGTATACCCAACCCAATACACCATCTCGCAACCTCAGCCTAACTTAGCAAAATCACATAGCCTTAACCTAACACAATCCTTCTCGAACAACGGAACGATCAGCCCCCCAATCCCAGCAAAGCTAGCAAGCCAAACAAACCGCCATCTGTGGATCCCACCCGAAACTTGGGTGCCTGAAACCGAGCTAAGTGAACTAGCAGGGAAGCGTCTTGGCGATGGCCTACAATGCCGTAAAACGGATTAGATTAGGGGGTTTCACTTGGATTTCACTTTTGCCGTTCGTTGGATCTCCCAGAGACGGAAAAAAGAAAAAAAAAGAAAGGCAGATCTATATTTGGGGTTTTATCTGAGACACGTATTGGGGGCCGCGAACTGTTGGGATTTATCATTGGATTGTGTTTCAGAGTCTACTTCTTCTTTGTCTCTGTAGATATTTATTGTGTAGTGATAGTATTACAATTATCTGGTTTGTTAATGGCTCTATCTTAAAATAATATAACATCAAAATTTAACAGCTTTCTAACTTAATAAGTAGCTTCCGCGCTGCCGGATTAGTAGATGATAGACGTACGGAGATGTTTAGCTCATTCCACCAACTTAAACCTTGAACTTCATTTTACTGTGGTTGACCCCGGTGGTTTTGTTAGTACGGTGGGCCTTGCAGGGATTTGAATCCTTCTAGTATCTATTACCGCCTTCCTAATTAGTATTATATGAAGCTAATAAGACCTCCTATCTTAGTGAACCTAGTGAGCAATCAACACGCCATGCCTACCCCCGAACCTAGCACCCCCCCTCAGCAGGCAGCTGAGCAGAGGGGTAATTCTATACGCCTTAGCCGTGATGATCGAATCTGTGTTCTTACCCTCCGAGATGCTGGCTTCACCTATTAACAGATTGCAGATCAGCTTCAAATTACGCACCGCCAGGTTCAGTATACCTGTCAAAACCAGCAGATGACACCTAGGAAGGCTCCTGGGCAGCCGCCAAAGCTCTCTGAGGAAGATATTAATGATATTATAGCATTTATCTCTTCCTCTAAGCGGAATCGCCGCTTACCTTTCCATAAACTCTGTCAAGAACTTGATCTACCTGTCGGACCAACCGCCCTTGCTCGTGCGTTAAAGAAACGAGGTTATACTCGCTGTATTGCTCTTCGAAAACCTCCTTTATCTGACCAGAATAAGCGTGTACGTCTTGCCTGGGCGTTAGAGCATGTGAACTGGACAACAGAGCAATGGAACCAGATTCTTTGGTCTGACGAGACATGGGTTACATCAGGCTTCCATAAACGAATCTACGTGACTAGGAAGGCTGGTGAAGAGCTAGAGGAGACATGTCTTCGCACCTCTCCTCCTAAAAGACGYGGATGGATGTTTTGGGGCTCATTTCATGGTTCTACTAAAGGACCATGTCTATTCTGGGAGAARGAATGGGGTACAATTAATGCAGAACGATATACTGAGAGGGTGGTTCCTATAATTAATGGATATCTTCGCCTGCTTAGACGRCAAGATAMCTGGCTCCAGCTAATGCAAGAYGGTGCACCTGGCCATTCTGGTTCACTTAATGAGCTTCATGAGCGTGGAATCTATCCAGTTAGATGGCCAGCTTTCTCCCCTGATCTGAATCCAATTGAGGTGGTATGGAATTGGATGAAGGACTGGATCCAAGCRAAATATCCAGATGAGRACCACCAACCAACATATGATGCTCTACGACAGATAGTTCGAGCTGCCTGGGATGCCATCCCTGAGGATTTYCTTAGGGATCTAATCGAATCTATGCCAGCTAGATGTCAGGCAGTAATCAACGCAGAAGGAGGTCATACGAAATATTAGATAATTACTAGGATAGCGGCAGAATCAATATGATTCGTTCATTGCAAAGACCCACCGTACTAACAAAACCACCGGGGTCAACCACAGTATGCTTTTACAGCTACTGCGTACCTAAGTGCATTCCTTTACCCTGCTCAGCTGGCCTATGACTACAGAGGTGAATGGCGAATAGTTGACTAGGGCTTGTCTACTCGCAGTGCTTTATACGAGGAAAGTGGGCAGTGGCTACACGAGAACTGGACAGCATTTCATCAAAGATGCCTATACGAACAGGACCAGTCACAGCAAGCTCTTCCATTCCAGGCCAAGTTCATCTTGCAGAATGAGTCGTTCCTCTTGTCAGAACGTGGATATAACTACATCTATTCAGCTAGGCCAAGAAAAATGACTTGACCGCTGGCGCCTGCAAATACACGCGTATTCAGCCCCAGGCAGCCCTCAGGTCCCCGTATCCAGGCGGCAAGTAAAGCAGCTTCTGGTCCCCTCTCCTGGCCCACAACAGGTCCCTATACAAGTCCGCGTCGGGGATGGAGCCACAACGCCAGCTGTCAGCGAATACAACCCCTGCATTGTCTTCAAGGACCGCACATCGTCCGACAACGATAGACCCATACCGTGGACCTCGCTTTTGATGGTTTGCTGGCAGTCCGGCCCTCTGATCGCAACCCGACTTTTCCACGTAGACCAACTGATATGACTTATAGGATACTAATATAGAGGTAGTGGTCTCGCAAGTCTGGACGCATTTCGTTCCTTCGCAAATCACTGTGGCCCTCGAGCGTCTGCTGGCATTGGCCGTGGTGGCATCCCAGATCTTGATAGTGATGTGAGGCGGAGGCGACCAGCCTGGAATCATGCGAAAAAAACACAGAGTTGACCCAGAAACTATGGCCCGTCAGCGTCTGCAGGCATTGGCCACTGGTGGCATCCCAGATCTTGACGGTCTCATCATCTGAGGCGGAGGCGACCAGCCTCGAATCATGCGAGAAGACCACAGACCAGACTGGGCCACTGTGGCTTTCGAGCGTCTGCAGGCCAGCACTCCGGTTATCTTCCATGGCAGGTCTGATTAGAAACAATTGGGGCCGTTCATGTTCAAATAATCGCCTTATTAAACTGCAAGCCGGACTGAACAAGAGCGTGGACCAATACGCCTGCAAGGGACAGTTCTCTATTGCCGTCTTGAAGTAGCGAATGATCCGGTGGGCATCCTGGACGAGAGCGACTAAATTGGAGTCCCTTCGCCCTTCCTTTATAATGTTAACATCGGCGAAATGTAAAATCATCAGTGGTTAAGTCTTACCAGAACTAAATCCTCCAGTCTTGACATTGAACGAACTCCTGTGACATGCAATTTAGAAGGCTAAGAGCCTCAAGCCAGTAAAGATACTTTTCCCGTAAGAAATCATAGATCTTGTCATAATTTTCGGCTTGCTCCCGTGCTGCAATATGACCTGCATCACGCAAATGGTCGACCCAGTAGATGCATGAGTACCGGACAGGACCCAGTGGATCTTGTTCGGGGCGCTTCACCTTGTCGATAGGAAATTCCGGACTGTGTATAGAATAAATATCACGGCGCAGAGCCACCCTCATATTATATAAAGACCTTAAAATAGTATGGTGAGCTGATTGTATTCCCGAAGGAAAGACCTCGTTAGATGCCTTTTCAGTGAGAAAGTCTTTTGCGGACTGGTGTACGAAGTACACAGTCCTTCCACGAATCGTCAAGAAGGAGCCACAAAGGCTTATAGCTTCTGTTAATGACTCGTCATCGTTGGAACAGTCCGCCAGAATCTCACTGAAAGATGCCAGTTCCTGGAGTGTGAGAGGCCGGTAAGCAGCTGCCATGAATCCAAGTAGCTCTCTACATAACTTGTCCTCTTCTGATTCGCGGATTTCCTGCATCATACGTTGGTACAGAGAATCGAGCCCAGGAGGGAATGTTTTCATCTTAGCAAGAGGGTTCCATTGTACGCTCTCCAAATATTGGCAGACTGATGCCACCCACAGGAATGTCCCATTTGCGTTTGTAGATAAGTGTTGCTGAACAGCATTTTGGGTCTGAGAGTTATATCTCTTCAGCTTTGCCAATTCACGGACTTTATAATTTATATATAGCCCGACAGCAGAAGACACTGATTCAGCATTCAACTCAAGGGATAATTGCTCCGCGGTGTCCAGCCGTTCCTTGATGCTAGGCCGGTTGCGACTGGAAACGAGCCATTTGACATGGGAGTATGACGACCAGTTCTGATTGATTATCTTGAGAAGTTCTGGAAGACCGGCCTGACACTGATCAAGACCATCAATCATAAGGAAGGTGCTCGGCATAGCATGATCTTCCAGGATATCTGTTAAGATCTGAGACATAGTATACCAAGAATTCAGGTCTTCATACAGATCATGCCGCTTTCGTATATGCAAGATAAGTGATGGCTGCTGATCGACAAGCTGACGAATAAGACAGCGAAGAACAGCCGTGGCACTGTTAGTACGCGAATCGGCGGCTTGACAAAAGAAGAACGACAAAAGCTGTGAACCACTGATCGACTTCTTCAGCTCATCAACAATTCCACAGACTAGCATTGTCTTGCCCTTGCCAGGGTCACCTCGGATCCAAAGAAGTCGGGTTTTCGGGTCATCTCTCCATCGTCTGAAGTCCGGATTTTCGAGGACCCAGCGATATACATCTTCTAAGAGACCTCCTTTCGTTTGCTGGATTCGCGTCTTCTCAATTTCAGGGTCAGTTGGCCATACGCTCTTGAGACACTGGCGGTCAGTCTCATTCATAATATACAAAGTCCTTGGAAATTCAGTTCTGCTCGATAAACGACATTAAGGCTGGACAGAATACCTTGAATCTGACTCCCACCGAACCAACTCTCCAAGGAGCCTTTTGAACCCGTTATCATTCGCAGAACTGAACCTGACCATGTCGCGATGATTGGCATGAATACTGATCAGATTGTAACCCTCAAGCGTGGCCGACTCTTTAGAGACAACTTTTCCCACCACAGGCAGAGGTAGTTCTTCAAAAAAGCAAATGACCTCTAGGCGCCTGCCGCTCTCTCGCAATTCTCGAATCATGGACCAGAAGTCAACTTGGATAGCTTCAAGAAGCTGATTGTCCGTCCGCAAGAGGTCTAGTAATGACTTGTTGGTGGACTTCACCAGGCCCAGAGCACTAGCCGAAATTTTGGCCCAGTCCGCCATCCATGATCCCTTGTGTGGTGTGCCCATGAAGATGACACCTTTAGTGCAATTAAATACGCCCCGAAGGTGGGCATCAGGGTTATGTCGTGAGCGCAGGATAGCTTCCTTGCAAACCAGACCGCCTAGATCGTGAGCGACAAAGATGATAGGGCGAGACGCTGCATTGTGAAGATCACGATCCGTTGTCAAATCGTTTAGAAAATTTGTAGCATGGTCGATTAAGCGGTTCGATCCCACAACTGACTTTCGCACCACGTAGGCGTCATAACCATAAGCGAGTATGCGAGCCGTGCTGAGCTTCAGCGGAAGAAGCGTTTTGGGCCAGGGATCAGACTGCCCCGGGGCAGTCCAGGTTGTAATTCGGTCACCAGTCAAGCCATGGACGAAACATATGTCAACCGTCGCATTAGGACAGTCATGCAGAATTTCAACGCCGTCAGGGAAATCAAGCGAGATAGAGTCTTCAGCGGACGACAGCGATGATTTCGGCTGATTGACAGTTTCGCTGGAAGAGACATGACTTTTTCTCCGTCGTCCTCTGAAGGCCTCTCTCAACTTTCCCATAGTTGATTTCTTTGCACGGTAGTAAGTGTAGCAGCAGTTTCTCCTGACAAGCGCTTTAAGTGTGCAGAACGTAAATAAGAGAAAGTCATGTCGAAGCAAAGCGCCGCCCCTGAGCGGGGTTCAGCTGAATTGGTCGCATCAGTGCATAACAGCGCCCAGCCCAATTATGTCACTGTATCAAGGCGCCAGGATTGCTACCTAGCTTCCTTAATTGAGGAGTTAGGCGCTTATAAGGGCCTACACACGATATCAATGGGTTCGGGGATGTTATTGGCCGACCTCGCAATCCCGACAGTCCACGGAACATGATCAAATGGCTTCTTACAAGACCGTCACACCTATTGCATCAAGCAAAATGGCGCCGGATCTGAAATCTTCTCAACTTGGAATGATCCATCATATGATTCAAAGTTAACCATTGACTACCTCCCAGATGGCTCAAGCTGCTGGCTGCAGCAAGCAGTCTATCATACGCGTTAACTCCAACCTGCAGGTATTTGGGAACGTTCGAGCCTCCCGAAAACAGCACTGGACGCCTTCGAACCATCGCTGCGCCCATGTTGGATGCGCTCTGTGAACATTTGATGGAGAACCCCACTCTCCATCCAGATGGAATGGCTGTTGTCTTCTGGGGAGTTTGGAAAACACGCCTCTGCGTCGAAAGATAAGACAGTCAAGATCTGGGATGCCACCGGCGGCCATTGCCTGCAAACGTTTAACGCTGGAAGGGTGACAGGGACAGGTCTATCATTCGATATAACCGACTCATATCTTGAACTTGACAGCGGCAAGATTTATGTATCTCCAATTTTGGATGCCATACCAACTAAGCCCAGTCCTGAAGCACCGAAATATCTTATAGATGCGGCATTAGTGCTGATAGAACGTGGATGACCTGGCATACAGAAAATCTGTTATGGCTACCCCCAGAATACCGGCCGGGTGCCTTCCATGTTACGCTATTAGCTATTTGTGTCGGCTGTGCATCGGATGAGTGCTAATATTTAGTACTGAGCTCAAGGACTCGCACTCCCTTACCAACACCTAGACCCCTTTTTATAGGATTTCCCTTTCTTTTCGACTGTAAGTTGCAGCTTCTCCTCATTAAGAGCTTGTGGTGGATGCAGGTGTTTACTGGCTCCCGTCAACACTGGATGGTGATTTCCACCACCGCTCCCAGTGTCTTCTTGTTTTGAGCCTGTTGTGAATATCGACCTCCGGCCGACTGGATAGAAGACACTTGACACGTTTTTGTAATCTTGAAGGCCCCCGAAATGAGCAATCTCAGATCCTGGATGCCGGAATCTCTCTGGTCGCATTTGTCAAGAGCATCGAGAACCAGATATACTGGATAAGGTTCTTTATCCGGCAGCATGTCTTTAAACAATTTGATGAGAGGGTAGAAGATATTGGGGTTATTGAAAGAGCCGGCCCTGGCGTTTCTGAGGGTTTGTCGTACATAGGAGAGCTTCATCTTCAACTTCTATGACGAATAATCTCCCAGCAGGCCAAATAAGGCGACTCTCAGGATGAGTGATCAAATGAACCCTCAAGATCACAATGCATTCTTGGGTTTGGCGAATATAGCCTCGACAGGTGTTTGATCCTTACTGCTGTCTGCAAGCGATATCCTGATTGTTTATATTGTCTTGCTGCTTCATGATGATCATATATGCAATGCCACCGTTCTGATTGACTTGCCTTCACCTTTACTGCAATCTAATGACGCTAATAACTAAGTTCATTTTCCTTCTTGCTAGGTATATTTAGATAGTATCACGTACCCTAGATGACCTATCAAAGGAAAAGCCGAGCGCATGAGGTCCACTGCAGCGCTAAGCCTTTATCCCATACAGATCTGCAAAGAGTGCTCCATGCGCCAACTGCCAAGGAGTGCGGGCATTGGTAGAATTGGCGCAGACCCTGTAGTCTAGTGGAGTTTTTCGAGCTTACTGTGGAGCTCAATCAGATGAGTACTAATCATATTGGATGGCTATATGAAAAAGAGGAGCAGAAGGAGCTTAGATATCTACATGATGGGTCCTACAACCTGGTGCTATACTTAATCAGGCAGGGAGCACCCTAAGAGAGGCCCCAGCTCTCGACAGATGAACGGGCATTGCTGGGTTAAATATCTGACCATCTCTCTCCCAATTCCTGGAATATTATGGCCATTATTATCAACACCGAATCCTCCTGCCCGCACATCCCCGGCTTGTTGATCGCTGGCTGATATCGACAAAAGGGGTTCAGATGGTCAGTCTTCTCCGGCTTACAGCACAAGCCTGTGACTGACTTCTACGATCTAGGAGCGTCACTATCTCGAGGAAGAACCCAATAGCGCCCCACAGTGTGTGGTCCATTCACCGCAACCTTCACCTTTCCCGCCAGGGCACAACGATAAATATTTTGTTGATAAAGATGGCCAGACGCAATGGACCACAGAAACAGGCCCACCATTCATAGCCGATGATGCAGCTGAGCCAAAAAAGAAAGCGCGATGGAGGTGGATTCTCGTCGGTTTGGGGATATTTGTGATCGTCGTGATCGCGGCTGTTGTAGGGGGCGTTTTGGGCAGCCGTGCTGCTCATAAGAATGATAATGCACAAAGGTAGCGTTCTCCTAACTCAAGAATGTTGGCTGGACTGACGGGCTGAGTTGGAATGACAGCGACTCGGTTTTATCATCAACACCCTCAACATCATCATTAAGTGCTACTAATACTACAACTCCCTCCACCACCACCACGAACAACCCGACATCTACTACGACGAATCCTCCCTCTTCCACCACCTCGAGTAACAGCAATAACCAGTCAGCAAATAACGGAACCGCCCGCTTAGCCGTATTTGACATGTACGAAACCGACAGCTGCGGCGGCGCCGACGATTCCTTTGCCATTACTAGCACGGGCTCCCAACGATGCGTCCCCGTTCCCTCCAACAAGAGGGCCATTCGAGTGACTGACAACAGGTATGTGATTGCAGAATGAACATTATGCATCCCTATGCTAATAAGTTTACAGTAGCTGTATCATCACAACATGGAGCGGCGGCGACTGCAAGGGGTTGAATTTCAGAGTGCCCGATACCGATTGTCACAGTGTATTGTATGCCGCTGTGTCTGTATATTGCTAGATATCCCAATTGCTTCAGCCATGTAGTCCCTGAGCCTGAGTCTCACGCGTCTGTTGGCTCATACTGGAATGCTTGGATACATATTATTCTTTTGCACATATTCAAGCCGTCTCCATCATCCTACCTCCATAGCCGCAAACCAGCATCTGCAGTCAGCTACATTTATGCTCTAGCTGTGCTGCCCTAGAGTTCATCAAAAGGGCCACAATCAGCCCATACAGGCCTTCCTAGTGCATCAGTCTTATGACACAGGAATCAGAAACAAGAGTCTTACCCAAGACCTCAGCAAAGATCAGAATAAGGATCATGCCCACATAAAGCCGAGGCTGCTGCGCCGTTCCTCTCACGCCCGCATCGCCCACGATTCCAATCGCAAACCTGACCAGGTTAGTTGAGCCTCAATAGTCATCTGCAAACATACCCAGCAGCTAGCCCACACAGTCCAACCGAGAGGCCTGCACCCAGCTGAATAAGACTGGTGTAGAGAGCCGCCTTTTGGGAGAGGGTGTTTGCAATCAGAACAGAGACAACTAGGCCGTATATAGCGAGGATACCGGCCATGACGATGGGTACAATGTCTAGATGATATCAGCATTGTTGCTCTAGGAAGCATTTCTATGTGCGTACTCCTAACTATCAGATCTGGTCTCAGGACTCCCGAGGAGCAAACGCCAACGCCGGCCTTTGCGGTCCCGTAGGCTGCACCGCAGGCCGTGAAGACAATGGCGCTTGTGCATCCTAGGGCACTGAAGAAGGGCTGCTCATGCTGTTAGAGATATCTCTTTACCCAAGAACTACAGTACATGACTCACGGAATAGACGGGGCTTTTTGTTGTTAGTTACATGATCAGGCCTTATCCTGAACACAGGGGAACCTTACCAGAATTCAGATGACATCTTCCCTTTCAGTTTTGATCTAGTTATCCAGTTTTCAGGTTGTAGATAGGTGGATGGAGTGAATATGGTCTATGGACTTTAGGCAGCTATATATACATCCCCGCACTAAGCCAAGGATTGGCTTGGATAGCTTCAGGGTTATACTGACCAGCCCTGATAGCTAACTACTCTGTACGGAGACAGGGATACTGGCTCTTACTAGTGCATATAATGCATCATGTACGGAGCATGCATTGTATGTGTCCTAGATTGTGCTCTCGGCGCGTCGGCGAGTAGATAGATAAATCTAGCACCGGTTCTATATCATCGCAGAGACACTATCATTATTAAACTATTATGAAAAAACAGGCTGGATCTTCCCACAATTCCTCAAAGCCAACCGCTCAGCCATCAGCACCTCGTACACATGTCTGACCCATCCGCAGCAGATCTTCCTTGTATCCTTGGGATCGACAATCTCCTGCACCCCAAACGCATTGGCCGTCCGCACGGGATTCATCAGCCGCAGATATTCCTCCTCCAACTCCTTATACCGTGCAGCCTTTCCCTCTTTGCCGCCCCGTTGCTCCGCCTCTCGCAGTTCCTGGCGATGGCCCACCTCGATTCCCCCGTCCAGCGGCAGAGATCCCCACTGCCCAGATGGCCAGGCAACCTGCACCACGGGGTCCCTTGCACCGAGCATGATCCCGCCAGCGACGCCATATGCACGCCTTGTAATCACGTTGAAGATAGGAGTCGTCGTAGCAAAGTAGGTTTTGGCCAGCTCGACGCCCCAGCGCATCGTGGCGTTGCGTTCGGCGACGGTCCCAATCGCATATCCAGCTACACATTGCACTTAGCATCTTTTCTTTACAGTTGCGAGGGAAAGACAAAGACTTACGGACGTCGACGAACTGCACAACAGGCAGATTCATTACATCGCACAGCTTCAGCAGCCGCGCCAGCTTCTGGCTCCCGGCCGCATCCAGCGCACCTCCGTTTACCTCGCAGTTATTCGCGATAATCCCCACCGGCCGTCCACCCAGTCTCGCCAGCCCTCCAATCGCCGTGCAACCCCATAAACCCCCAATCTCAAACCACGAGCCCGCATCCACTACACTCCGGATGATAGTGTAGGGGTTGTACATCCTTGCCGCACGACGCGGGATCACACTCCGTAAGCCGACGTCCTCTCTATCCTCTGGATCCTCGCACTTCACGACCGGAGGCGCCTCGCCGCCATGGTTAGGCAGGAACCCGAGCACCGTCCGCAACTGCTCGAAGCACTCGGCCTCATTAGCGGCAAGGTTATCAATCGTCCCGTTGGTGCAATGCACCATGGGCCCGCCTAGGTCCTGAAAGTCCAGGCCTTCTTCGAAGGTGGCGTTGGCGACCACCTCCGGGCCGGCATTGAACAGCGCGCCGATATCCGCCGCCATGACGGAGAAATGGCACGAGACGACGCGTGCTGCGCCGAGACCGATCTATCACCATTAGTCCAAGCCTGGAGCAAAGAAGGAGGGAGGAGATACAGCGGGTCCAACGACAGCCCCCAGATTCGGAATGCCCTTGTTCAGCTGCTCGACGACCTGCGCGTACATGCGCACGTAGGGGAGGTAGCTCCATCCTTCCTTGCGGATGGTGGTTACGCTGCCGCCGCCGGAGCTGCCGTCGACGAGCTTGATGACGGGCAGTTTGAGCGCGATGGCTAGCTTCTCGGCGTAGATTGTCTTGTCTGCCGTTGAGCCGTCCGCGTGGCCGCCGCGGATGCTAAAGTCGTCAGCTGTGAGGAGGACGCGCCGGCCCTTGAGCTTCCCAAAGCCCTGGACATTGTTGCTCGGCGTGAACGATTCGGGGATCTCGGTGGTGGGACCGGTGGGTTTCCAAATGACGGTGCCGGAGACGGAGCCGATTTCTTCGAATGAGTTGGGGTCGAGGAGTTGAGTGGTGCGCTCGCGGACCCAGAGCTTGCCGGCTTGTTTTTGGCGTGCGTAGCCGCGGTGAGAGGGGTTGGGGGTTGCGGCGATTTTTTTGAGGGTGGTGATGGTGGAGAGAACGTCGGAGTAGTCTGCTGGCAGCTTGGCTGCTGATAGGTGGGAGGAGAGCTGATTGAGGCGTTTGGACGCCGTGTCGTCTTTCATTTTGTAGATTCCTTCAATGCTTGAAGATATTGATAATATTGCAAGATGCTAGAATGTATATAGGAATGCGGGGAACCGAGAGCCGAGGTTCCCCTCATCCCCGCATCATGTCTCCGTATCTATATCTAGACTTGGCTCTACACGACACTACCAATCGATGCATCTCAATCCATAATGAAAAAGCTTCTGGTAGCCAACAGAGGCGAAATTGCAGTGCGCATCTTGCAAGCTGCCCGCGAGCTTTCACCCCCGATCCACACAGTGGCCCTGTCGACCGCAAACGACACATCGCACTGTCTCCTCAGCCACCCAGATGAGACCATCTCGCTCCCCTCTGCGGCCTCCTACCTCGACATATCCCTGCTCGCGCAAATCTGCCAGGAACATGGCATTGACACCGTTCACCCAGGCTACGGCTTCCTCAGTGAATCCGCCGAGTTCGCCCGCCGCATGCACCAAATCGGGGTGACTGTCATCGGGCCGGGGGCAGAAATCCTCGAGCGAACAGGCGATAAACTGCAAGCCAAAGCGCTCGCTGCGTCGTGCGGGGTACCAGTCCTCCCGTCTCACTCCGCGCAATCTCTCGACGAGATCCGCGCGTTCGTCGAGAAAGTCGGGTACCCAGTCATGATCAAAGCAGTCGACGGGGGCGGCGGACGGGGCATCCGGCTGATCCACCAGCACCAAGCATCCGAGCTGGCAAATCTGGCAGCCAGAGCGCGGAGCGAATCCCCCTCGCAGACCGTCTTCGTCGAAAAGGCCGCCGTGGACGGCTTCCACCACGTCGAGGTGCAGGTCCTCGGCGACGGGACAGGGACCGTCCACCACCTGCACGAACGAGATTGCAGCGTGCAGCGGCGGTTCCAAAAAATTGTCGAGTGTGCCCCGTCTCTTCTGGACCGGTCTATCATAGAGAAAGTAATCGATGCGGTGCTGCGCATCGCCCGCTCCATCCGGTACCGATCGCTCGGCACGTTCGAGTTCCTTGTAAGCGAGAGCACACCCGAATTCTACTTCCTGGAGATCAACCCCCGGCTGCAGGTAGAGCATACCATCACCGAGGCCGTAACGGGGGTGGATCTCGTGCAGGCGCAGCTGCGGTTAGCGCGGGGCGAATCTCTCCAGGAAATCCTGACGGAGTCTATTTCGACACCCTCAGCACGATCCATCCAGCTCCGTCTCTGCGCCGAAGATCCTAGCGCCAACTTCGCGCTGAGCATCGGCAAAATCACTGACTTCTTCGTGCCACCCGGCCACGGTGTCCGCGTCGACACACACCTCGCCCCCCCGGTAACCGTCGCCTCGGACTTTGACAACCTCCTCGCGAAAATCATCGTCACAGCTTCGAGCTGGGAGTCTGCCGTGCGGAAGGCGCGGCGCGTGCTGAACGATACCCGTATCGAAGGCGTCAGGACGAACCTGCCCCTCCTCCGGGGGATTGTCTCAAGCGAGGACTTTCTAACGGGGAGGATCGACACGCAGTGGCTGGAGAGGAACCTCCCGTCTGTTTTGGCAACAGGCGAACGCATCTCTGCTTCTCTTCCCTCGTCGCACCAACCATCCAAACCGGCGTTCCAGCTGCCGACATCATCCCTCCTTTTCCGCCGTGGCGACGCATGGAGCATCTCCCTCTCCGCGTTATCCTCAACCTCAGCCCCGACCTCAAAAGACCAGCCTGAAATCAGACATCACCTGCGTCTTTCCCGCATCCTCCGCAATGACTTCCCCTCGTCCCTAACCGCCGAAATAGAGTACACCACGCCCGCGGCCTCTATCCCATATAAACTACACCTCGCAGCCACAGGCGCAAACACCGCAGCCAGCTCCTTGGTCTCGGGCCATCGCCGCGGCGACCCGTCCAACCCGCGGCATATCGTGCTGCCGCTATCGGGGAAGTTGATTGAGGTGCTGGTTCGGCCTGGTGAGGTTATTGCCAAGGACCAGGTTGTTGCGTTTGTCAAGCAGATGAAGATGGAGCTGGAGGTGCGGAGTCCGCATGCGGGACGCGTAAAGTGGGTTTATGAGGTTGGGGAGGGGGAGGAGGATGTAGTCGAGGGGATGTTGCTTGTTGAGCTTGAGATTGACTCTGCCTCTGGGGGTGTGCCTAAGGGGAAGCTTTGATGGTCTACCTCCTGTGGCTGTTTTAACTGTGGCGTACTAATGTATGGTACTAGATTGGTACTAGACATTGGAAAGACGTGAAGAACGTGTATAGAATAATGTTATATACTATGATTCCATCGTACACATCATGCATAGGCATTGTCACATGGAAGATATACATGCCAACATGCAAGGCAGAACGCTATAGACAATACATCCGCAATCTCCGTGACATATGATTGATCATGATCAAGGATTGGCAGCGTCAACATTAGCGATGATGTGAGTACGGAGTTCAAGTCACACAAGTCATGTTGGCGATCATGCTCTCTATACTCTATCAACTATCTGTAACCATGTCCTGAATACTCCCGTCAGGTCCTCGAAGACTAGGGAGTTATAATTGGGCCAGATTGGAGCTCCTGGACTCCACAAAGACCACTAAGGCGGATAGCTCGACGGCAGATGATATTGAGGCTCATTTCCGCAAGTTTAATCCACTCGAATCGTGAGCTGTGCAAGTCGAACTGCTCACGGAGTCGCTAAAACGTTTGCGGAAGGGCTTCTAGCGTCAATACCGCCGATAATTTCCTAATTCGGTCTCTGCGGAAAATAGGCAAAACGGGTATCGTGGAGACATCATTCTTCTTTTCTTTCCGGAGCTGTAGTCACTTCATTTGTTTTACAAGTCCAACATTTCCATTGCAAGGCAGAATATATGGCGAGCAATGATTAGCAAAATATGTTGGTGCCCCTTTTCAGTGTTGGCGGCCAATTCCGGCACCGCTACAGGTAGACAGGTAGTAACCTTAACCCTGGTTTAGCGCCGGGCTGATGGTACCCTTCCGGCCAATTAATTAATCACCTAAGTTGGAGTGCATGGGCTTGCTTCACATACACGCAGGGTATCCTCGTAAGGAGGAAGACTGGTTTGGGGCCAAAGAAGGGGAGATAGGTTCAATCCTATCCATTATATTTGTCACGGCACATGCCAGAGTAGATCAGCTGGAAAGAACCTTAACCTAATCTGATCCTCCAAATCAGCGCTTTTAGTAATCGAACGTCCCTCCACTCAGGCATGCTTGCCCGTGCAATTGAATTCAAACCAATCATCGAGTTCCGTGGGACTCCAAACAGGGGCCAAGACGGCGATGGACTAGGGCATTTTGCGGCATAGTCAACAGCCGTCTGACTTGTCTGGCCGCATGAGGGACTACGGACGTTAACTCTTAAAGGTTAGTACCGTACTTAGACTGGCCAAGCTGCTTCCGCTTCCGCCGCTCAAATCCATTTGCTCCCAGAATTCTTCGACATTCAACTGGCAGAGTTTCAGGGTCTAGGACATGGCGTTGGCTGACTTGGACAAGCCCCGTATTTGATAAGGCGCTGACGGGCCACCTCAGTTGCGACCATTTTTTCCTGAATCTCTCTCTTTCTGTGCGATTGTTTTTTATCGCACTTCCCCCGTCAACATGGTGAAGTTGTCGCCGATGAGGGTGCGATCGGCCGCTCTTATATTTTTAGGGGTCTCGTTTACTGTGGGGTTTTGGTTGTTTGGCAGTCGGAGCAACGAACTGGTGGGATTTAATATACCGTACAACCACGCAGATTCACCATCACCGTCAGGAGACCATCCTATCGATCAACTCATCGTAAGCGCCGATGCAGAATGGCGATCACTGCTTGGAAAGGAGGCAAAAACTTTGGATGCCGCAACGGAGGAATATCGTCGCCGTCGGGGCCGACATCCACCGCCAGGCTTCAAAGAGTGGTTCGAGTTCGCTCAATCCAAGGACTCGCTCATTATTGAGGACTTTTTTGACCGAATCTATGACGACCTAAATCCATTTTGGGGCCTCCAACCGAAGGAGATCCGACGACAGGCGCAAAGCCTGAAACCCCGCATCGCTGTTCGCAACCATAAAGCGAAGGCTGTCACGGACCACGAAGCACTCTGGTTAGACTCATGGCTCAGTCTTGTGCGCAGCATCGACCACTACCTTCCTGACCTCGACATGCCGTTTAACCCCATGGATGAATCTCGAATCGTTGTGCCTTCGGAGACCATTGCCGAATACATGGTCAAGGAACGTGTAAGCCGACAGGGGATGCGAGATAAAAATCCTGCGGAGTTTATCACAGAATACACAGCTGCCAAGGATGAATCCGAGTCTGGGAACTTCGAACCTCGCTACCTGGGCCCCGGCGATGGTCAGTTCTGGGATATGGCTCGTGTCGGCTGCCCGCCAGACAGTCCGGCGCGCAAAAGTCTCGCCATCAACCCGGCGACAGTCCTGCATGCGGCAATGGAGAACTTTCTGCCACACTCGCAGAACGGCTATGTGCGCAACTGGACGCAGTCCAAGGATATTTGCTGGCGTCCCGAGATGCAGGCTCTCCATGGAACCTTTATCGAGCCCGTGTCCATCTCCACCACGCACGAACTATTTCCTCTTTTTGGAGGATCCAAGCTGTCGGTCAATAATGAGATCCTCATACCTCCCGCTATGTACTGGGCCAAGGACAAGCGATACTCTGGCGGCAACCAACATGGTGGTCCATGGGAATCCAAGAAAGACGCCTTGATCTGGCGCGGCATCGCATCGGGGGGYCGAAACCGAGTCAACAACTGGACGGGATTCCAGCGCCATCGCCTACTATCCATGTTGAACGGGACATCCATCGCCGCCGCCGAAAGGAACAACTCTCGCTTTGTGAATTTCATTCTCCCCAGCTATGACTACTACAATCTGGCCTCGGCTCATGCCGGCCACCTCCCCGAGTTCGTCGAGGAGCATGTCGATGCGGGCTTCATCCATCTCGTGTGCTTCCCCTGCGACGATCTGACGGATCCGCACTGCGCCTACACGGAGCCTTACTTTTCCCTCGTTTCCGCCATGCCCATGGGCAAGCAGTACGATTACAAATACCTGCCTGACGTGGATGGCAATTCCTTCAGCGGACGGTACCGCGGATTCTTACTGTCGACCTCTCTCCCCATCAAAGCTACCATCTACGACGAATGGCACGACTCGCGGCTCATCCCCTGGGCCCATTTCCTCCCTATGGACTCCACCTTTCTGGATATCTACGGCATAATGGAGTACTTTATTGGATACGACGGGCCTGGCCATGACCACGCCGCGCGGAAGATTGCCCTGAACGGCAAGAAGTGGGCGGAGAAGGTCCTTCGCCCGGAAGATATGCAGATCTACATGTATCGATTGTTGCTTGAGTACGCAAGAATCTGTGATGATAGACGTGAGGATTTGGGGTATACCGAGGATATTTTATGGGTCAATCGTGAGAAGACCACCTGAAGGTATACTTTGTTAATGTTAGGCTTATGACCATCTCTTGTATATAATGTATATAACGTTTCAACTATAAACCTTGTGTGAATTTCTGCCGGTGCGTCCATATGCGCAAAGCTTTCTATCAGTTCAACTTCGACTCTAGCCAATGACGTTGCTGATGTCCTGTATAGGCACAGCTTCTGGTCTCGCTTAGTAGGAGCACACTCTTTACTGCCATTGGAAGCCCTCAGGCGGAACAATGGCTGATCGGGTCTCACTATCGGATCGAACCATCGAGAACTAGGGCATGTCTCGACGAGGCTCCGAATACCTGAGGATACGGAGATAACAGTATCGGACACTGACACTTGACGTGAATTAAATTTACCCTAATTAACACCGAATTACTCCAGGGGGAACACCTCAAAGTACTTCATAGTAAGCCTAGTAATACATCAATTTCTTGTCTCGTTGCATTATCAGCGGCGGGTCAAGTCGCACATCCGGCTGACTTCTGGTATTCCTTTCCCTGTGCGGTTACTGGGAAGATGGTGAGGTATGTGGAGATGCCGGAGGATAAGTTCCGGCAGTTTTGTCCTCCTGGTGCTGCGGATGCTATTGTGAATATGTTTTGGTTTATTCAGAAGCTTGGGTATTATAGTGCGGAGACTGGAAAGGTGGTGGAGTGGTCGGTCCAGCGGGTCAAGGAGCAGCTGGTCTATATGGAGGACTTTGCCAAACTATTCAGTTTGTGTAGTGCCGTGGACGATGTATAATGATGTATATATGATGTACACTAGCGAGTAGCGAATGCTCATCCATTGCTGTCCTTCTTGAGAACATGAAGGTACCGGGGTCAAGTAGCAAGACACGTAGCTGCTAGTAGGACAGATGTAGGTAATCTACACATCGTACCATAGCAATGACGTAAAACCACCGTTGCGCAATTTCTTTTCAAGTAATTGACAGTTAGGTAGTTACCAATACCTGTTAAATATATTCCTCGTCTTAAAACACTTGGCCATTTGTTCATATACTTTGGCCTTTTCCAAATCGTCCTCCACCGTCGACGCATCCCATAACTGATTCTCCACCAGAAACTCCCATGCGATGCTTGGTGTCTGCCGAAATGCAAACACCAAATGATGCGCCATCTTGCAGCCAGCAGTGTCCGTTGCATCAGGGTCTGCGCCTTTGGAAAGCAGAAATCGCACCATCTCAAGTCCATTCCCTGCTGCCAGGTGCAGAGGAGTACTGCCATATACGCTTGTTCTTGCTTGGATATCAGCCCCCGCTTCTAGCAGAGCCTCCACCCTACTAGGAACACTTGAGCAAGCAGCACAGTGAATCGGGTAGACAAGTTCCAGCTCGTCTGGTCCCGGATCAAAGAACCACTCGTGCAGCCACTCGCCTGTCTGCCCACCGGATGAGAAGCAGCGCGAATCAGCAGCCGCGTTGACATCGGCACCGTAATGGATCAGGTAGCGAACCAGTGTGCAACCCACTTGCTCTGGATCTGAAAGTGTGGCATAATGTAGAGCCGTGTGGTTTCCAGGATTTGATCCGATGGTTGGGTCAGCGCCTTGTTCAAGCAGGAATTTGGTCATAGTTATCTGACAGGCAAAAACAGCAGAGTGCAATGGGCTCCAGCCATGGCTACCAGTCTCGTTCACAGTCAAGCGGCTATGATCTAGTATCCACTGCACAGTATCTAAACGACCAGCTTCTGCCGCGCGGTGCAGAATAGATCCATTTGTCTTGCTCCGGGCATGGATATCCACGCCAGCTTCTACCAGTATCTGTACCACAGCTAGCGAACTATGATATGCCGCTTCATGCAGCACAGTCTCCCCATAGATATTGCGGAGCTGGACATCTGCCGACGCGGCAAGTAGCTCCCTGACCGCAGGGAGATTATTTGCTTGCACAGCGTACCATAGTGGGTTCTCTCGGGTTGAAGTAAGAGCATTGACGTCTGCCCCTGCGGCAATCAAGTATTTCAACAAGGCTGTTGCATCTTTTTGCCTCTGTTCCTGCTCGACCCATACACTCCTTTTCCCTGCTGCAAAATGCAACAGTGTCTCCGCATGAGTGGTCACATCAAGGATATTCGCCCCCTCGCGAACCAGGATCTGAACACACTCCAGGTTGTGACTCATTGCCGCCAAATGAATCGGTGCTTCCTGCCCGATATCCCTGCTAGAAAGGCCATACCCTCTCTGCTTGTAGTATTGGATAATCATTTCAAGGATCTGCGGATCGCCCTTCAGCGCTGCGAAATGGAGGGCATCCTTCCCCATCTCATTAGTCCGGTCATGGGCATCATGCTCGATAAGCAGTTTGATGATTTCGCGTCTGCCGTACAGGATGGCTTCGTGCAGTGGAAAACAGTCTAAACCGGATCCATCAGGGGAGACCCCAGTATCTAGAAGATGGGTGACATTTGCAATGTCGTTGCGTTGGATTGCTTCGACTAGGGCACATTCTTCTTCTCGGCTTCTGGGTTCTCGTGAAAACATTAGAGCAAGACAAAGGAGCGTAAGTTGGAGAAAACAGAATGGATAACCATCAATTAATTATATAGATCTAATGCACTAGGCTGGAAAAGGTGTCCGCGATGTACACTTAGTCTAGCTTATATTCCATAGTCATGGTGCATAGATACCTCGGTAACTGATTGGCTCCCCAGTCTGCGCAGAATAAAAGTAGACCTTAGGCACAATAACAAATAGTTAGCCTTAGACATATTTAGATAGTCACATTAATAGTAGATCTTAGTTCCGATAGTCTATTTCTATTATTTCATCATAACATGTTGATTACTGATCTGTCGTCGATCCCGACTGCTCCAGGAATGTATCCACTGCGGAACTCTAAAAACTCCGCGTTCTTCTCGTCCGTTCATCTCCTGATTCTTCTCTTCTCTTGACTTTGCCATTGGATCACCATCAAGAGACAATGTCTTCAGAAACCCCCGGCAGAAAATCACTGCCGACATGGCTCCATTTCAATTCCCACGACCTCAAAACCCTGTTCCGCTGTTCAGCCGCAGCATGGGTCGCCACCATCCTGATCTTCATCCATCCCACTCTGCAAACCATCGGCACGGCCACGTTTTTCGGATGGTGAGTTAATCCTCTACAGACGAATTGATTTATCTGACGTGATAGTCTGGTTCTCTTCTTCAATCCGCCCTCTGGCATCCTCTTCATTTTTATCCTGGGGACGCTGACCCTGCTGCTTGGCATGGCTCTCGCTTGGGCGTGGGGCGTCATCACCATGAAAGCTGCGCTGGCTGCTCGTCCTCAGACGGAGACACTGGCCCGTCTGCAGGCGCTTGGACAGGAGGCAGCCAGACAGGCGAATGCCACCGGCCAGAGTGCGGCCAGCGTGCAGTCGCAGCTCGTGTACGAGGGGTTCATGCTTGATGCGCGGGTTTCCGTCATTTACTTTGTTATGATATGTGTCTTTTTTTACTTTTTGGTAAGTCCCCGCTCTTTCTGATTAATAACGTGACTGACATGAATAGGCCCGGCTGCGCGCCGCAAATCCCAAGTTCACGCTCGTCCAGATCTTCGGCACCATCATTGGCGATCTGTTTCTGACGATAGGCCCGCTCCTGCCTTCGTTTCGGGGGACACTGCCGAAGGTTCTGATTATCCCTGCGGCGATTGGCGCGGGACTGGGCCTTGTCGCCTCGTTGCTGCTCTTCCCGCAGTCGACGTCGCATGCGGTTTTGTCTGGTATGCAGGCATTTGTCGGGTTGGCGAAGCAGCCGCTCAGGTTGACGGCCGCTCCCACCGAGGATCTGGATTTGAAGACGTTAATGGCGCTCAGGGGCCAGCTCATTGCTGCATACAAGGCCATGGAGCCGGCGATCGGGTTCCTGCCCCTGGATTTCTCGCGCGGCCGGTGGAATGCAGCCGATGTGAAGAGCCTGAGGCAGCCTGTGCGGCAGATTCTTGTGAGCACGGTGTCGCTGCTGGATCACATTATCAACCAGCTAAGTGCCCAGGCTAGTGTGGACCGCGTCCGGGCGATATCCAAGGCGGGGACGCCGGTGAGTACCTCCCATGGACTCCCACAGGAGGGCAAAGGGGAAGTCGGACAGCGGCAGATGCTGGACAGCTTGGAGATGGTTGAAGCGATGACCAGCCCCGAGTCGGAGGCGCTGCGGTCCGGCACGCATGCCATTCTGCGGGAATCCAGCGGGGAGATTCTGCAGGTTTGCGAGGAGGTGGCCGGTATGGCGGGCGAGTGCATCCACGGGGTCAACTCGCGGCGCTGGCTTGGATCGCGGGCCCCGGATCGGTTGGACGAGTGTCAGAAACTCCTGGAGAAGCTGCGTGCGGCGCGGGACGCCGTTGCCGAACAGACCACCGAGAAGCTGATCGAGAAACACGGCGAGATTTTTGATGAGAATGGAAGCCTCAAGCGCCTCGACACCATTGGCGGCACATCCATCGGCAGTGTCATGGCTGGCTTGGCCTTTGAGGAGATGGTCATCTCCGTCGCGAACGCTCTGGACCAGTTCCTGTCGCAGATTGTGGCTCTCCTCGAGGCCCGGCCGAAGCCGCGTCTGTGGTTTCCCACCAGCATCGAATACGCCGTTGGATGGGTACTGCGCCGGGAAGCTCGCACTCCCGTCGCGGGACAGTCGTCCGACCCGGACCCGGACGAACCTGTAGACCAGACGGAAGAGACGCAGCAGCTCTTCCGCCGGATCAGCCGGGGATACCGCGTCAAGCAGCGGAGCGGCCTTGGCCGCGTTGTGCTGGGGACGTACCACTGGTTTATCAACGCCGAGGGTCTTTTCGCCTTGCGCATGGTCATCTTGACAATTGCCCTAGCGGTGCCTGCCGTCATCCCATCGAGTGCGGGATTCTATTACCGGGAAAAAGGCCTCTGGGCACTGATCATGGGGCAGACCACGCTGCTAGTGTACATGTCCGACTTTACCTTTTCGCTCATATGCCGGGCCGTTGGCACGGTTATCGGGGGCGTCGTAGGACTGGCCGCCTGGTATATCGGCTCCGGAAATGGACCGGGCAATCCGTACGGACTGGCTGCCATCTCGGCCCCGGTGATTGTAATCTTCATGTGGGGACGACTCTTTCTCAGCCCGGCAATGCTGCAAGCGACCGTCATGAGCGCCGCAACCTTTTTCCTCGTCATCGGATACAGCTTCGCCGATTCGTATGTCTCTCCCCTTTGCCATTATGGCCCCTGTCTATATGCATACTGACCAGACCACAGACTGATACCTCAATACGGCAATCCCGGCATCGGCTACAACGTCTTCTGGCGCCGTCTGGTCCTGGTCTTTGTCGGCTTCGCCGCCGCACTGGTCGTCCAGATCTTCCCCAGACCGCCCTCGGCAGCGCGACACATCTGCATCTCGCTGTCCAACACCCTCCGCCGGCTGACAGACCACTACGCCCTCCTGCTCTCGTGTTGGGCGCGCCCCAACAACGACCCGCGCATGGCGGAGCTGCTGGCTATCGAGGTCGCCGAGCGGCTCGCCGCGCTGAACGGCCCCGTCGCCCTCCTCGGGCTGGAATTCTCCAGCTCCCGCTTCGACAGCGCCAGTCTGCGGCAGGTCCAGTCGCTCTGCCAGACGCTCAACCAGAACCTGGGCCGGCTGCTGCTGCTCTCAGCGACGCTGCCGCTCGAGCTGCAGGAGCGGCTGTCGCGGATGACGGGGGTGCTGGAGCAGCGGTCTATTGCGGACGTCATGGCGGTGCTGGGGGTGGTGGCGCAGGCGATCAAGACGGGGGATCCGCTACCGGAGGTCCTGCCAACGCCGTTGACAAAACGCTGCTATGAGTATTGGAGGGGATCGCAGTTGACTGAGGTGATGCCTTTGCAGACAGAGCTCATCAGGGACAAGGCGTATCGCCGGTACTGTGTGGCGTTGATGGCGTATGTGAGGGTGTTGGCCGCGGTAGATGAGTTGGTGATGGTCGTCAAGGGAGTGTTGGGCGAGGCCCATATTGTCCAGCTGCCTCAGCCTTAGTCTAGCTGTATACTCTGTATATCTGTATATATCATGAATAAGCACATAAGTGTAACGTAATCGGTAAGCGAGCGGCCATTGTAACCGAGCGGCCACTTTCCCATTCAATTCCAACGCGTCCAATTCAAATCTATCCAAACAGCTACTATGCCACCAAAATTACGTCAAACCTCTGGAAATTTGGTGGAACAAGAGGGAAGGATTCTCCTTGCAATATCTGCCCTTAAGAATGATCAAATTCGCAATATTTCTGAAGCTGCATGTGTTTATAATGTCCCCCGCACAACTCTTCGACGACGCCTAGATGGCCATATCTTTCGACCTGAGGCACGCGCAAACGGGCATAAGATGACTCAGAATGAAGAGGGATCACTTATTAGATAGATTCTATCTATGGATCAACATGGAGCGGCTCCCTGACCATCCCATGTGTGAGAAATGGTGAATATCCTGCTTGCGCAGTGTGGTTCAACTCCTACTCAGACTGTTGGAGAGAAATGGGTATATAACTTTATTAATCGGCATAATGAGATTAAAACCCGATTCTCTAGGCGCTATAATCACCAGCGTGCTAAATGCGAAGATCTAAAGATTATCCTAGAATGGTTTAATCACGTCCAGATCATAATAATGCAATATGGGATTACACCTAAAGATATCTATAACTTTGATGAAACTGGCTTTGTAATGGGCTTAGTAGCTACTGCTAAGGTAGTAACAAGAGCTGAGATGCTTGGTTGGCCATTTCTTATCCAGCTAGGGAACTGTGAATGGGTTACATCTATAGAGTGTATTAACTCTACTGGATGGGTGCTTCCACCATGCATTATCTTCAAAGGCAAGGTCTATATTGAGGGCTGGTATCAAGATCCAGCCTTACCAGCAGACTGGCGGATTGAGGTCAGTGAGAATGGATGGACAACTGATCAGATTAGATTACGGTGGCTTCAAAAAGTCTTTATTCCTACTACTAGTCGGACGACTGGTAGATATCGACTCTTAATTCTCGATGGCCATGGAAGCCATTTAACACCTCAATTTGATCAGATCTGCAGTGAGAATAATATTATTCCACTCTGCATGCCTGTACATTCATCCCATCTTCTTCAGCCTCTAGATGTTGGCTGTTTCTCTCCTCTAAAGCGCGTGTATGGTCGCTTAATTGAGGAGAAGATGTGATCTGGTTTTAACCATATTGATAAGCTTGACTTCCTTGAGGCCTATCCACAGGCCCGTACAGCAATCTTTTCATCAGATAATATCAAAAGTGGCTTCTCAGCAACTGGATTAATACCACTGAATCTAGATTGAGTACTCAGTCAGCTTAATATCCAGCTTAAAACCCCTACACCACCAGGCAGCTGATTAATAGATTCTATCCTAAAAACGCCTTACAATCTCAAGCAGTTGAAGAAGCAGGAAAGTACACTTAAGAAGCTACTCAGGGAGCATATATATAGTCCTCCTACGCCTACTAAGGCTGCACTAGATCAGCTTATCAAG